GCCAGAGGTAAGGTGAGAGGGCGGGAGATGGAGGGATAGGCTGTTTTGAAGCTTAACATGCATACAAGACTGACCCTGCTAGACTGGACCCAACAAGAGACCATCTGATGACTAGAGTAGGGACAGACAGGATGGGGTAGGATGTGGTATGAGAGGAGGATGTATTAACGGTTGTGTACTATTAATATTCCAGTCAATGGAGCCATACACCATGGCCAGTTGGCCACAGCTGTTTAACGGCTTTATAATAGTATGAAAAATGTATGCACTCACTAACTGTAAGTCGCTCTGGATAAGAGCGTCTGCTAAATGACTAAAATGTAAAATACATGTAAAATAATGTGGCTGGTGGGATACAAGGCTTATTTGGTCTCCGACTGACGAGATGGAGGATCAAGACCTTCTCTTTTCCAGCTACTCAGCATGGCTCTGGGTGAGGTGGAGCAGGGGAAGGCACTGAGCTGGAATGGAATGAGAGTGGAGAAAGGAGGGAGGGAGTGAAGGATGACTCTGAAGAGCAAGCAGCCCTTGGTGTGCCTTTTTAACAAGGGGGCCAGGCGTTAACAAGGACACTCCTTACTTCCTCCCTTTGTGCCTACATTCTAGTCTCTGTGATGTCGGTTTGAGACTGAGTCATAATAAAAGACTGAGGCCTACTAGGCTTACCCAGTGTTATCTTAATGCCATGTACAGGCTAGGCAATGTCTAGCAATGGCAGCGGCAGACCATCACACTTTAGGTTCGCCTTCACCTTTTCTTTCAATGTAGAGCACCTTCCATAGAATGACTGTGAAAAGAATAGATGTCGTTATAAATGTAGCCCTGTGCTGCTCTCAGGAGATGATTGGAGGAGATGCAAGTATGTCACTGACTAATCTGTGTCAAGAAGACGTGTAGAACACCAGCACAGGCCTCTCTGCTCCCTCCCTCCCCAGGGCCGTCCAAAACGGCTGCATGCTCTCCTTTTTGAAGTCTGATTTTATCCTTGTTATCTCTATTCAATATCAGTGGGTTATATTCCTATCCTGCTGGCTTATCTATGTCTTGCTGGTAGACAATGCAAGCTAAACTCTCTGGCAACATACAACAGATGGCCTGTGTATGTTTGAGCTGCTTGTTTGAGGCTCGACTGACCCGGTGATGGGGATAAGAGGCATAAAGACAAGGAGAGACTGATGGGGATAAGAGGAAAGAAATGTGCAGCATTCCTTTGCTCTCTGTCTCTGATAAAGGGTCAGTATGGGAGGAATGTGACCCTGGAAGACTGGATAAACAGAGGGGAGGGGGAGGGGGGGGGGGGGGGGGGGGGGAGACGAGCTGACCGAGAGGGGGCCGGGGGGACTAATTTGTGGGGTACCTCACACTCTACAGCAGGAAACTGGGGAGTAAGGATTGAGGAACCGAGTTGAGAAAGGGAAGGGTGTAGTGATGGAAGTCAGCTGTAGAGCTCTGAGGGGCGTGAGAGGAATGGTGCTACAGCCCTGGTTCCCTCCCTGTGTGCCTAACTTAGAGCAGGGTTAATGTGCCATTTAGTGTTTCTCATAACCCTTTCTCTGTCTGTAATGCCAATATCCAACGCAGTACAGCCTTTCTCAATACATTCCCAAACATCTACTTGCCCTAGCCTAGTCTTTGTGTGCAGTAGACTGCACTGCCCCCGGTGTAGGCTAACTTACCTATAAAATATTTGTTTGTCATTCTACAGCAGGGAAACCTCACACTCAATGATTTTGTTATTTCATAAGAATAGCTTTATGATTGCTGGCACCATAAGAGAACTTGCCACCTGTGAAATCACATTGTATGATTTTTAAGTAATTCATTTGGCATTTTATTGCATGACATAAATAAGTATTTGATACATCAGAAAAGCAGAACTTAATATTTGGTACAGAAACCTTTGTTTGCAATTACAGAGATCATACGTTTCCTGTAGGTCTTGACCAGGTTTGCACACACTGCAGCAGGGATTTTGGCCCACTCCTCCATACAGACCTTCTCCAGATCCTTCAGGTTTTGGGGCTGTCGCTGGGCAATACGGACTTTCAGCTCCCTCCAAAGATTTTCTATTGGGTTCAGGTCTGGAGACTGGCTAGGCCACTCCAGGACCTTGAGATGCTTCTTACGGAGCCACTCCTTAGTTGCCCTGGCTGTGTGTTTCGGGTCGTTGTCATGCTGGAAGACCCAGCCACAACCCATCTTCAATGCTCTTACTGAGAGAAGGAGGTTGTTGGCCAAGATATCGCGATACATGGCCCCATCCATCCTCCCCTCAATATGGTGCAGTCGTCCTGTCCCCTTTGCAGAAAAGCATCCCCAAAGAATGATGTTTCCACCTCCATGCTTCACGGTTGGGATGGTGTTCTTGGGGTTGTACTCATCCTTCTTCTTCCTCCAAACACGGCGAGTGGAGTTTAGACCAAAAAGCTATATTTTTGTCTCATCAGACCACATGACCTTCTCCCATTCCTCCTCTGGATCATCCAGATGGTCATTGGCAAACTTCAGACGGGCCTGGACATGCGCTGGCTTGAGCAGGGGGACCTTGCGTGCGCTGCAGGATTCTTATCCATGACGGCGTAGTGTGTTACTAATGGTTTTCTTTGAGACTGTGGTCCCAGCTCTCTTCAGGTCATTGACCAGGTCCTGCCGTGTAGTTCTGGGCTGATCCCTCACCTTCCTCATGCTCATTGATGCCCCACGAGGTGAGATCTTGCATGGAGCCCCAGACCGAGGGTGATTGACAGTCATCTTGAACTTCTTCCATTTTCTAATAATTGCACCAACAGTTGTTGCCTTCTCACCAAGCTGCTTGCCTATTGTCCTGTAGCCCATCCCAGCCTTGTGCAGGTCTACAATTTTATCCCTGATGTCCTTACACAGCTCTCTGGTCTTGGCCATTGTGGAGAGGTTGGAGTCTGTTTGAGTGTGTGGACAGGTGTCTTTTTTTATACAGGTAACAAGTTCAAACAGGTGCAGTTAATACAGGTAATGAGTGGAGAACAGGAGGGCTTCTTAAAGAAAAACTAACAGGTCTGTGAGAGCTGGAATTCTTACTGGTTGGTAGGTAATCAAATACTTATGTCATGCAATAAAATGCAAATTAATTACTTAAAAATCATACAATGTGATTTTCTGGATTTTTGTTTTAGATTCCGTCTCTCACAGTTGAAGTGTACCTATGATAAAAATTACAGACCTCTACATGCTTTGTAAGTAGGAAAACCTGCAAAATCGGCAGTGTATCAAATACTTGTTCTCCCCACTAAGTATGGTAAAGTTGAAAAATATCCCGAACTTTTAACATTTTTTGAGTGTTTGCTTTTTTGCAACATTGTATATGTAAAAATAACGGCGCTAGTTGTTGTAAAATGTCAACGTTTACTTCTACCCTGGGGAGTAAAGGAAGGTTTTAGGCTAACGACCCTGGCGGTGGTGGGAAAGCACTACGTTTCCGTTGTTGGAATGATGATAATTGGGATTTTAAAGGCTCCAGTGCCTGTGAGAAGCACAGCGCGTTCAGATAATGGCCTTCCCTTTTCTCTGTCCCTCTGTCTATAGCTGAACGTTATGAGACACCCTTCCCTTTTTCTCCCACTGGTTTCTTGTAATACTTGTCTAGTCACTCCATGTGGGTTACTCCATGGAACTGACTTCAATGACTTAGATGTTGTTCATGAGCTGTGAGGCATGCAAAAGCTGAGCCCGTCCTGTTTGGGCCTTCAAACGATGTCGCTCACCTCTGGCATTGTGGTTGTGTTTTACACAAGCTTTGTAAACAAGATTCAAGTCTGAACATTGTGTTTAGGCCTTTAACCCCATTTTTTTATGGAATATTTAGACTTGAAGTCCCTTGAATGTTCTCTAACTTTTGTTTTTGAACATTGAAGGTTCCTTAGGCCTCGTGGTCCTCTGTAGCTCAATTGGTAGAGCATGGCGCTTGTAACGCCAGGGTAGTGGGTTCGATCCCCAGGACCACCCATACGTAAAAATGTATGCGCACATGACTGTAAGTCGCTTTGGATAAAAGCGTCTGCTAAATGGCATTATTATTTATTTATTTATTATTATTATTATTATTATTATTATTATTATTATTATTATTATTATTATTATTATTATTATTATTATTATTATTATTATTATTATTATGTACAACAGTCAAACATCCCACTCTGACCTACTCCTCCTCCCTAAAAAACCCAACGTTGCGAAATGCAAATTGTTTTGAAGATTGTTCTCCAAGCGTGTAATCAACAAAGTCGTTCCCAAAACCACGTATTTAGATGAAATGGTCAGCACATGTTGCACATTACCACGAATGTAAGTTTTACAGCACTGTGACTTACGATTTGTTAGTGAGGTCTTCTTGGCTGGAGAGGGAGAGCGCCCCGTAATTTGATTAGCATCTGTAGCGGTTGCCAGGAACGTGGGGGCCTAGTTGACATTAGTGTGTTTTATGTCGACCTGACTTAACCTTAGCACTCTCCCTGTTGTAGAGAAACATTGGCGTCCCCAGCGTTCCTCAGACATTACATAAAGACAAACGGCCAGGGACCAGACCTCTCTGACAGACACCAACTCACAACCCAACAAACTTTGGTAGTGGGTTCGATCCCCGGGACCACCCATACGTAAAAATGTATGCGCACATGACTGTAAGTCGCTTTGGATAAAAGCGTCTGCTAAATGGCATTATTATTATTATTATTATTATTATTTTCTGAGCAGTGGCGATCTTTAGGTCAGAACAATCCCATGGGTATTGAGGATGTAGATTGATGCGAGGGAGAAATGAAATGTAATGCCCACATTCTTGTTTTGGGTATAGATAATGCAAGATAATGCTTTGTAGTTTAAGGGAAGTCTTTGTTTATTTGGCTCAGTATATGTCAGGACTGTTGCTCATTTACATCAGGTTTGTTTGTGGGTTGAGGTACAACTAAATGCTCCATTTCCTAGCCCTAACCAACTTCCGGGTCTCTCTTTCCACAGCAACCATGGCGACGGACGCAGACAAGTTCCTGTACGTGGACCGCAACATGGTCAACAACCCTCTGGCCCAGGCAGACTGGGCCACCAAGAAGCTGGTGTGGGTGCCGTCGGAGCGGCTGGGCTTCGAGGTGGGATCTCTGAAGGAGGAGCGCGGTGAAGAGTGCCTGGTGGAGCTGGCAGACTCTGGCAAGAAGGTGAAAATCAACAAGGACGACATCCAGAAGATGAACCCACCCAAGTTCAGCAAGGTGGAAGACATGGCTGAGCTCACCTGCCTGAACGAGGCCTCAGTGCTGCACAACCTCAAGGAGAGATATTACTCTGGCCTCATCTACGTGAGTATTTTACACCAGGCACACACTGAGCTGAAGGACACAGCTGAAAATCATTGTCTTTTTTTTTTTAGATGTTATCCAAGGTCTTGCTTAATGGTGGTTACGAAAGCACTGTTCGCTCATATCACAACTTGGCTTGGTTCCAAACCAGGTAGTCCTTCTATCCAGCCTCATTACCCCATTAAGCCCATTGTTTCAGATGACCCATTGTGTGCAGGTTGTCAGCCCAAACAAAAGGCTGGAATCTGTTTACCAAGCTTTAAAAAAATAAAATCAGAACTAGTATGTTCAGTCCTCCCTTTCTGGCTCCCTTCCCTCTCTTACTCTCTCCCTCTGTGTTTGCAGTGCTGCTGTAAACAGGAATCAGCAGGGAACAATACTCTCCTGAGGGGGGGGCGGGGCGGGGAGAGTAAAGCTGTTCAGAGTTGAGTTTCAGGCGGAGCTGGAAATGAAATGGATATGGAATGTAAATCGCGCTCCAATTGTTATTGTTCCCCCATAATGCCACTTATGCCTCTGTCCACAACTGGGAGTGACTTGGTGCCTGCTACACTGGGCTTTGACCCGGACAAGTCAACACACCCTGGCCCTCTTGGGGTTCGGGTATTGCTGTGTTGCGCACAACTGGACCAGGTACCCTTCAGAAAAGCCCCTCTCCTGGGAGAGGCAGAGACAACTACCAGACCAGAAGCAAGGGCACAGAGCAATGGGGAGGGGAGTGCAGGAATGTAGCTGAGAGGGAAGGAGACAGAAATATGGAGGGCGGATTAACATAAATGAAGTGGGGAGGAGAGATGCTCCAGATGCCCATACCAAGATGAGGGGTATATGGAAGGGGACAGAGGGGGGTGGGGTGACATCACCTCGGATAATGTCACTGTTTGGTAGAAGGTCTTGGTGATTGTGAAACATGACTGATCTAACCCAGACTCTAGCTGTAGTCAGGGAGGGGGATTGGGATATAAAGTATGGAGCTGGTGTTGACGAGAGACTTGGAGAGGGTTAGATTCAGAAGATAATGTTCACTATGATTTCCCCATTCACAGCGTATGTGTTCTCTCCTGAAACATCTGTCCACTCTAGTTCTCGGCTGTAGACCATAAGAGGGTCATATAATATGCAGTCAGTTGAAACTATTACATTGGCAGTGCATCTACTGCAATCTCTCACTGATATAGACATTGGAATTTTGTGTTCTTTGTTCAGGCCATGGATAGAAGAGATGCTCAGTAGTTAATATTAATAAGCATTTCTCTTTGTATCACAGACATACTCCGGCCTCTTCTGTGTGGTTATAAACCCCTATAAGAATCTGCCCATCTACTCAGAAGAGATTGTGGATATGTACAAGGGCAAGAAGAGGCATGAAATGCCCCCCCATATATACGCCATCACTGACACGGCCTACAGGAGCATGATGCAGGGTAAGTGGAGACCCTTGTTATACCACAACATCGTAAGTAACCAAATGTGTTCAGATGAGACTGAGTAAAAGGGTTATTGGTAGTATTTTAACATCCATGTTTAGTAAGATAATTTGTCTATAAGATATGCATCGGTTTAGACTCCTACAGGCAGACTTAGCTCTGAAAGTTTGCATTTAACTAGTGAAGCATTGGCCTCAATTTCTGAGGGCTCCTGCCTTCCTTAACCAAGGAAAGGCCATTAGTCAGTCTAAGGGGATGTAGGCTACCTACAGTACATTCTCAGTACTCTCTTTCCCAGACCCATTATCTTGATGTACCGTTGGGCATTGTCAGGCTGTCCATTCACTCCCTCTTGTCTTGTTAGTCCATTGTTGGCCCCCATTGAAGTAAAGGGAATCATTTAACTCTAGGAGAGAGGGAGGGAGTTACCGCGCAGTATGTGCAGGGGGATAGTTAATTGGCTTGTTGGTTAAAAGGCAGCACCCTTTCCAGTCACAGGAAACCGGATATTGATTTCCTGTGTGACCAATGCACTTCCTGTTTCAGAGAGACAAATGTGGTGCATGTGCTGTAGAATTCACATTTTATATAAATCCAGCTGGCAACAACATACTTCTGTTATTCTGACAATGGAACTGTGAAGTTCCTCTGCACAACAAGCACCCATGATAGGCTGCAAATAATAACAGAAACTATTCTGTCACTATTGAATTCAAACGTCCTAATAATAATAATAATAAAATAAAAAATAATATGCCATTTAGCAGACGCTTTTATCCAAAGCGACTTACAGTCATGCGTGCATACATTTTTGTGTATGGGTGGTCCCGGGGATCGAACCCACTACCCTGGCGTTAAAAGCGCTGTGCTCTACCAGCTACAGAGGACCACAATGTTATTCAATCCAAACTTAATGCATGTAATATGTACCTTTTTTAAAACCATGGCTCCACCTCTTTTCACAGACCGTGAAGACCAGTCCATTCTTTGCACGTGAGTCTTGAGCACAAAACCCTATGAACAGCAAATCTTTGTCTCTCAACATGACCTTGAAATATCTTGGTTTTAGTTGTGATGTTGCTGACAACTGATTGACTTCCTTGTTACTTTTTTGGTTCTGTCTTTCTCTCCTCTTTCTCCTTTTCTCTTCCACAGAGGAGAGTCTGGTGCTGGGAAGACAGAGAACACCAAGAAGGTCATTCAGTATCTGGCCCATGTGGCCTCTTCCCACAAGACCAAGAAAGACCAGGTCAGTCAGTCAGTCCTCTACCTTCTAACCTTACCTCAACTACTTTACTATTCTCTCTCCTAATTCCCTCTGATGTTCACCCTCTCCTCTGATGTTCACCCTCTCCTCTGCTCTTCACCCTCTCCTCTCTTTCCTATACCTGTTTTCTTTCTCACTCTCCCTCACTCTCTGAAGTGGGCCTGGTTTCCTATGGTCCTTTATCAGCTCGGAACCAGGCTTTTCCGAGTCATCAGTGCTCAACTACTTGTACTGTGATTGTGTGTGAGAATAGTGGTGCCAGTAATACTTAACATTACATACTTGTCAAGCCATCACCATATTGTTCCAAGTCTTGGATAGGTGCGTTTTCTACATCAGTCACACCGCTCTATGCTACCAGAGCCATAGAGTACCACTAAATAAGGGTTGGCCAGTCCTGGTTCTTGAAGACTGACAGTAGCACAGCACTGCAGGCTGTAGATTAAACTCCCTTGGTAGCCGGTTCATAGTGTGATATCTAAACCACAGTGGACTGACGTCATTATTCCTATTGTTGACATTTCTCCTCCAGCAGCTGAGCTCTATAAAGCCATGAGACAAAGTAAAACCCTGCAGTGCTGTAGTTGGCCACCCCTGTGATAGATGCAGCTGTAACTACAGGGTTCAAGAGAGGCTCAGTCTTTTCTGAAAGCAGACCAGTATCCGTATCTATCATTCCTTTTGAGGTTGTGTATTTCTCTTTTCCCATCAACAGACCAGCTCGTTCCTGTCACATGTGAGTTACCCTCTCCCTTCACCCCCCACCACCCCCTTCCTTCCTCTCCCATCACATCTCTGGATCTCCTCCTCCACACCCTTCCTCCCTCTCCCTGGCTCTTGCGCTGTCTCTCTCCCTCCTCCCCCGTGCTGCTGGAGCGTGCTCTGTGGTGGGCTAGTGGGTCACTTGGAAGTGTAGGTCACATGACCAGTGTTGGTCAAGAGGAAGAAGGAATGTTCATTATTAAAGGGGAAATTGCCATTTTGAATTCAGCCAGACAAAACTAAGAGCACATCCCTTTTGTATTGTTGATTTGATCTTCTTTAAATACTAAGTTCAAATGTATTTAATGAGTAACCAACTCTGCAGTTTAACAAGTCTGGCTGAATTTTGCATAACGCTGTTGATCCTTTGTTTTGCCCCTGGTGGTTCCAGAAGTGTGCTTGATGTGTTTACCTGTGTGTGAGACTCCATGTCTGCTTGCTGTGTGTGTTCCAGTGTGTCTGTTTAGAGATCTGGTCAATGTTCTCTCACAGTTCCCCCTCCATTTTTCACTCTTTGTCCACACCATTTTAAAGATCTCTGGACAAACTCATTGAGTTGCTGTGTGCATTGTGATGCCAGTGGAGTAAACTGTGATTGTATACCTCTGTGTGAGTGAGTTCACTGGGGATGCTTCATACCAGTCAACAGATCCATTATTCCCTTCTCCTTATTACCGCATTACCGGTTAAGCAAGCTCCTCAGATTGATAACATTGACAACGCCCCTGCTATAGCAGCTACATTTTAAAAAATTTTAGTCATTTAGCAGACATACTTATCCAGAGTGACTTACAGGAGCAATTAGGGTTAAGTGCCTTGCTCATGGGCACATTGACAGATTTTACACGTAGTTGGCTTGGGGATTCGAACCAGTGACCTTTCGGTTACTGGCCAAACTCTCTTAACTGCTAGGCTATGTAAGAATATGAGTGTGAGTCTGTATTTGTATTGAGTGGGCTCCAAGCTCCTCACATTAAGAATGTTGACGAAGCCGGCTCTTTAGGGCATCAGTAGGCTTTCCTGTCTACGTATAGATCCTTTAAAAATGAAAATACACTGTAGTATTACTAGTGGCATTTTAGATGGATTCATGTGCATGGATCCACCTGTACAACAACAGTCTGAAGTAGAGCTCAGTGTGAACTATGTGCAGGTTTAGGGCTGTAGGGTTTTTGTATAGTTACCAATGTCCGTGTAGTGAATCTTGACAGTCAGTTCTCTGCATGGGGTCTGGGGGTTACTCTGCTATGGGTGAAAGGTGACGGGTTACTGATGAGGGCCACAGGGTCGTCCATTGGGTGTCAAGGTGTGGGTACTAACACTGCGCTGTGTGTGGGGAATTGTGTACTTGTGTAAGTGTTCCCGTGTGTGTGTGAGATATTCAATGGTCTGCATGCAGTTTGTTTTATTTTCTCCATAAGTAAGGTAGGCAGTTGGCAAATGTGTGATTTATCTTACGACTCATGATTCAATTATGGACTTGGGCGTAAAAAGGGAACATCCAAATACAAATCAAATGTTTAAACAACTTAAATCCTCCCAATGAAGTGATACTAGAGTAAATTAAAGGCAGATGACTGTATTTCTCACAATGCACGACTATGAATTATCCATCGGAATCACCAAAGGTATTCACAGTTTGATCCCACTGCTGAGAAAGGACAAATGGCATGTTCTGTTAGGGTGTCACTATAGAATTTGCACTTATCTAGATAAGTCCTTATATGGATGTGGTGATTTTAAAGGATCCAATGGGATAAAGTCATTGGTTGATGGAGGGGTTCTGTGTTTGTCCACTAGGGCGAGCTGGAGAAGCAGCTGCTGCAAGCTAACCCCATCCTGGAGGCCTTTGGAAACGGCCAAGACTGTCAAGAACGACAACTCCTCCCGATTCGTAAGACATTTTAACATCTCTTAGTGATGCTTGTGTTTTGACTTCTATTTATTACTTTTTTCTGTTGGACAATTATTGCCTGCTTCCTTAGTCATTCACTGTGTTCTCTCTCCCAGGGAAAATTCATCAGGATCAACTTCGATGTCAATGGATACATCGTGGGTGCCAACATTGAAACCTGTATCCTTCATACTATGTTAACCACACTGAAATTCACTCCCTCATTTGAAATATACAATGGTTTCTCTATAGATTCAACTGTAGTTTAACTCCAGACACCACTCGGTTAGTGTTTACGGTAAACTAGACAATTAAGTCACACACACACACACTCGCCCCGGCCAGTAGAAGCTCATAATCCATTCTGAGTGGCTCCTTGACTCCCTGACCTCCAGACCTGCTGGAGAAGTCCCGTGCCATCCGCCAGGCCAAAGACGAGAGGACCTTCCATGTCTTCTACTACATGCTCACTGGGGCTGGAGACAAACTGCGCTGTAAGCCTCCTTCATTATCACCTTTATCAAGTACAGGTAACTGTGTATATCAGATCTAATAACTCTGTGCTCCCCTCAGCCGAGCTGTGTCTGGAGGGCTACAACAACTACCGCTTCCTGGTAAATGGAAACGTGACTATCCCTGGCCAGCAGGACAAGGACCTGTTCACCGAGACCCTGGAGGCCTTTAGGATCATGGGCATCCCAGACGACGAGCAGATTGGTGAGTGGGAAGACTGGACGCACTACCCTCTCACAGGTTTATTTTGGGGGGGTGTGTGACTCTAACCTCTGGTTGTTCTCTAATGCAGGTCTGCTGAAGGTGGTGTCTTCCGTGCTCCAGCTGGGAAACATGAGCTTTAAGAAGGAACGCCATTCAGACCAGGCCTCCATGCCTGATGACACGGGTACAGCAAACCTTTATGTGGGCTGGTCTTATCCTAAAAGAGATCATAGTATCTGTCAATTGCACTCTACTGACCATCAGACTATACACCTTTCAGTCCACAATAATTATTTTTGGTTTCAAAGTCTAGTTCCATGCACTGCTGTAGGCATCAAACTCTTATTCCCTTGGGGATCCCTCCCTCTCAACCCCATCTCATCTCTCCGTCCCCTGTCCCTCCCTGTCACAGCTGCTCAGAAGGTGTGCCACCTGATGGGCATGAGCGTGACAGACTTCACCCGTGCCATCCTGTCCCCTCGTATCAAGGTGGGCAGGGACTATGTGCAGAAGGCCCAGACCCAGGAGCAGGCTGAGTTTGCGGTGGAGGCCCTGGCCAAGGCCACGTACGAGAGGATGTTCCGCTGGCTGGTGATGAGGATCAACAAGGCCCTGGACAAGACCAAGAGACAGGGAGCCTCCTTCATCGGCATCCTGGACATCGCTGGCTTTGAGATCTTTGAGGTAAACTGGAGTGGGGGCAAAGACCAAAGGGATTACAATGTCTTGAGTAAGAACCAGTGTATATTTGTTGAAAGCGATTTCCTCTCGTCTCTCTCTATCTCCACTTACAGTTGAAGTCGGAACTTTACATACACCTTATCCAAATACATTTAAACTCAGTTTTTCACAATTCCTGACATTTAATCCTAGTAAAAAATTCCCTGTTTTAGGTCAGTTAGGATCACCACTTTATTTTTAAGAATATGAAATGTCAGAATAATAGTAGAGAGAATGATTTATTTCAGCTTTTATTTCTTTCATCACATTCCCAGTGGGTCAGAAGTTTACATACACTCAATTAGTATTTGGTAGCGTTGCCTTTAAATTGTTTAACTTGGGTCAAACGTTTCGGGTAGCCTTTCACAAGCTTCCCACAATAAGTTGGGTGAATTTTGGCCCATTCCTCCTGACAGAGCTAGTGTAACTGAGTCAGGTTTGTAGGCCTTGAATTTTCTATAGGATTGAGGTCAGGGCTTTGTGATGGCCACTCCAATACCTTGACTTTGTTGTCCTTAAGCCATTTTGCTACAACTTTGGAAGTATGCTTGGGGTTATTGTCCTTTTGGAAGACCCATTTGCGACCAAGTTTTAACTTCCTGACTGATGTCTTGAGATGTTACTTCAATATCATTTTCCTTCCTCATGATGCCATCTATTTTGTGAAGTGCACCAGTCCCTCCTGCAGCAAAGCACCCCCACAGCATGATGCTGCCACCCCCATTCTTCACGGTTGGGATGGTGTTCTTCGGCTTGCAAGCATCCCCCTTTTTCCACCAAACATAACAATGTTCATTATGGCCAAACAGTTCCATTTTTGTTTCATCAGACCAGAGGACATTTCTCCAAAAAGTACGATCTTTGTCCCCATGTGCAGTTGCAAACCGTAGTCTGGCTGTTTTATGGCGGTTTTGGAGCAGTGGCTTCTTCCTTGCTGAGCGGCCTTTCAGTTTATGTTGATATAGGACTCGTTTTACTGTGGATATAGATACTTTTGTACCTGTTTCCTCCAGCATCTTCACAAGGTCCTTTGCTGTTGTTCTGGGATTGATTTGCACTTTTCGCACCAAAGTACGTTCATCTCTAGGAGACAGAAACGTGTCTCCTTCCTGAGCGGTATGACTGCTGCGTGGTCCCATGGTGTTTATACTTGCGTACTATTGTTTGTACAGATGAACGTGGTACTTTCAGGTGTTTGGAAATTGCTCCCAAGGATGAACCAGACTTGTGGAGGTCTACAATTCTTTTTCTGAGGTCTTGGCTGATTTCTTTGGATTTTCCCATGATGTCAAGCAAAGAGGCACTGAGTTTGAAGGTAGGCCTTGAAATACATCCACAGGTACACCTCCAATTGACTCAAATGATGTCAATTAGCCTATCAGAAGCTTCTAAAGCCATGACATCATTTTCTGGAATTTTCCAAGCTGTTTAAAGGCACAGTCAACTTAGTGTATGTAAACTTCTGACCCACTGGAATTGTGATACGGTGAAATAATCTGTCAGTAAACAATTGTTGGAAAAATTACTTGTGTCACGCACAAAGTAGATGTCCTAACCGACTTGCCAAAACTATAGTTTGTTAACAAGACATTTGTGGAGTGGTTGAAAAACAAGTTTTAATGACTCCAACCTAATAGTATCTAAACTTCTGACTTCAACTGTATCTAGAAAGACAGAATGGGGGTGGATGCCTACAGGGAATATGTTTTCACCTGTCTAGTTCTTTCACATCACTGCAGATTTAGGGAACGGGGACAAATAAAGAGAAACACTTAAGCCTCTTAGTTTTTGGTCATGATGATGAATGCACTTTCTGACTATTTCTCTTTCTCCTCTAGCTGAACTCGTTTGAGCAGCTGTGCATCAACTACACCAACGAGAAGCTGCAGCAGCTGTTCAACCACACCATGTTTATCCTGGAGCAGGAGGAGTACCAGAGGGAGGGCATCGAGTGGAGCTTCATCGACTTCGGCCTGGACCTGCAGCCCTGCATCGACCTCATTGAGAAGCCTGTGAGTCTACCCCTTTGTATCTCCCTACCTTTCATCATGTACTGAATACTCCCTTTCTCACTCCACCCTTTCCTGTACAGTGAGGGAAAAAAGTATTTGATCCCCACAACAACAAAAAACAGAAAAACGCATGTCAAAAACGTTATAAATTGATTTGCATTTTAATGAGGGAAATAAGTATTTGACCCCTATGCAAAACATGACTTAGTACTTGGTGGAAAAACCCTTGTTGGCAATCACAGAGGTCAGACGTTTCTTGTAATTGGCCACCAGGTTTGCACACATCTCAGGAGGGATTCTGTCCCACTCCTCTTTGCAGATCTTCTCCAAGTCATTAAGGTTTCGAGGCTGATGTTTGGCAACTCGAACCTTCAGCTCCCTCCACAGATTTTCTATGGGATTAAGGTCTGGAGACTGGCTAGGCCACTCCAGGCCTAAATGTGCTTCTTCTTGAGCCATTATTTTGTTGCCTTGGCCGTGTGTTTTGGGTCATTGTCATGCTGGAATACCCATCCACAACCCATTTTCAATGCCCTGTCTGAGGGAAGGAGGTTCTCACCCAAGATTTGACGGTACATGGCCCCGTCCATCGACCCTTTGATGCGGTGAAGTTGTCCTGTCCCCTTAGCAGAAAAACACCCCCAAAGCATAATGTTTCCACCTCTATGTTTGACGGTGGGGATGGTGTTCTTGGGGTCATAGGCAGCATTCCTCCTCCTCCAAACACGGCGAGTTGAGTTGATGCCAAAGAGCTCGATTTTGGTCTCATCTGACCACAACACTTTCACCCAGTTCTCCTCTGAATCATTCAGATGTTCATTGGCAAACTTCAGACGGGCCTGTATATGTGCTTTCTTGAGCAGGGGGACCTTGCGGGCGCTGCAGGATTTCAGTCCTTCACGGCGTAGTGTGTTACCAATTGTTTTCTTGGTGACTATGGTCCCAGCTGCCTTGAGATCATTGACAAGATCCTCCCGTGTAGTTCTGGGCTGATTCCTCACCGTTCTCATGATCATTGCAACTCCACGAGGTGAGATCTTGCATGGAGCCCCAGGCCGAGGGAAATTGACAGTTATTTTGTGTTTCTTCCATTTGCAAAAATCGCACCAACTGTTGTCACCTTCTCACCAAGCTGCTTGGCGATGGTCTTGTAGCCCATTCCAGCCTTGTGTAGGTCTACAATCTTGTCCCTGACATCCTTGGAGAGCTCTTTGGTCTTGGCCATGGTGGAGAGTTTGGAATTTGATTGATTGCTTCTGTGGACAGGTGTCTTTTATACAGGTAACGAGCTGAGATTAGGAGCACACTCTTAAAGGGAGTGCTCCTAATCTCAGTTTGTTACCTGTATAAAAGACACCTGGGAGCCAGACATCTTTCTGATTGAGAGGGGGTCAAATACTTATTTCCCTCATTTAAAATGCAAATCAATTTATAACATTTTTGACATGCATTTTTCTGGATTTTGTTGTTGTTATTCTGTCTCTCACTGTTCAAATAAACCTACCATTAAAATGATAGACTGATCATGTCTTTGTCAGTGGGCAAACGTACAACATCAGCAGGGGATCAAATACTTTTTTCCCTCACTGTATATACCTCCCTGTTAACCTCTCACTTCCTGCAGTCCCATCCCTTTTCTCCAATCCTCTCACATATCTCTCTCCCCCTCCCTCCATCTCTTTCAGTTCAGTCCCATGCTATGCTGCAGCTCCAGGCTCCCTGGTCTCTCTGTAAGCCCTGTTCTCTGCTCTCCCTCAGGCTAGCCCCCCTGGTATCCTGGCCCTTTTGGATGAGGAGTGCTGGTTCCCCAAAGCCACTGACAAGAGTTTTGTGGAGAAGGTCCTGCAGGAGCAGGGCACCCACTCCAAGTTCCACAAGCCCAAGAAACTGAAGGATGAGGCCGACTTCTGCATCATTCACTACGCTGGGAAGGTAAACAGACCAGTAATGAAGACTAAGTTTAGACTCTGCTTAATCTGTGTGCCCTGGGACATCATGTCCCATGCAAACCTTGTGTAATACTAATGTCTATATGGTGTTCCGTCTCCTCAGGTGGACTACAAGGCTGACGAGTGGCTGATGAAGAACATGGATCCTCTGAACGACAACGTGGCCACGCTGCTCAACCAGTCCACTGACAAGTTTGTGTCTGAACTGTGGAAGGACGGTGAGTGCAGCCAATGATGGTTACCAACCAGTAAGAACAACAGACTTAAGTGGATGAACCTTCATGCTGGGAATTGCTGATATGTTTTCAGTAAAGGGTCTCTTCCTGTCTCATATCTACTTTTCTCTCTCGTCTCGTATCCGATGTCTGGTGTCTGGACCTTTGTTCTTACCCGTTCACTCTGTTTTGGATTCTATCCATCTGCTCCTCTGTATGGCCCATTTTCGTTTGTTCTCCCTCCCTCTCTTACTGGGTCTCAGAGGTACAGAGGTCTCAGAGAGCCTATTTTTATCAGCGTTTTCCTTTTCTACACTCAGATTCAGGTGACCGTTTTTTCTTTTTCATCATTTCAGTCTCCTTTATTTACTCCTGTTCTGCTCATCCTTCTGTTGTTACACGAATATGAACCTTTTTCTCATCTCAGCATCAACTTTTGCCTATGTTTTTTAACCTGTTTGCTCATACCCCGTTTCCCCTGTGGATCAATGTTGATTTATCAGATGTATTTTTACAAGGGGATGTAATGACCGTTCCCCCCCAGCTCTGTGTGCAGTGAGATCTACCACTTGTTGCTCTTTCATTGGACTCTCCCTCTCTCCCTCTGTGTAATAGTGTGGTTTGGGACCCCTGGTGTTGCTCATGGGTACTGCAGCAATGGGTATATACTGCATGGGTTTGGTTCCGTCGTCACCAATAAAAACATGCCTACAAATGCACAGTTTGTCACCAAACATTGATTTCCAAATAGTATGTAGGTTCGCACCACACATTTGACGTATTAAGATGGTCACATAGTGGAAGCAGTTACACACACACACACACACACACACACACACACACCCTTCACTCACTGCATCGAGTTGCGTCTCGTTCTAGTGTGATTCCCTCTCCTCCCCCCACGCTTCACTGGCATTTTGTGACCCCTCTCCTCTCATTCCCCAAATCCCCCTTCCTACTGTATTTGTCCTCCTCTGCATTCACCCAGTGTTGCGGTGTCACTGGTTTTGAACCAGTCAGTCATCTCTCTCTCTCCATCCCCCATGGAGAGATGGGATCCCCCCCACCTCCATTATACTCTGCTTCATGTGTTTTATGTTGTGGTTTGTTTTCACTGTGTGGTGTTTGCCTGGTTAGATTTTCCCAAATGTGCAAGCCTGTCTGGTCTCACTTCACCCTCTCCTCTCCTCTTGTTCTTCTCTCCGTCTTCCCCCTCTCAGTGGATCGTATCGTGGGCCTGGATAAGGTTGCAGGGATGTCTGAGATGCCTGGTGCCTTTAAGACCCGTAAGGGCATGTTCCGGACGGTGGGCCAGCTTTACAAGGAGCAGCTGTCCAAGCTCATGGCCACTCTGAGGAACACCAACCCCAACTTCGTCCGCTGCATCATCCCCAACCACGAGAAGAAGGTACCAGTCGATCCACCTCCACCAGTGAAAACATCCAAACAATAGTTTCTCTCAAGATGCCCTCCAAACACAGTAGGCAACAGAGGCACCCAGAACGTATGCTAGTGGTGTTATCTTGGCAGCTGTTTATTTACGCATCTAAACAGGTTCCCTTTCTTCCCTCCCTATAGGCTGGTAAGCTAGACCCCCACCTGGTTCTGGACCAGCTGAGGTGTAATGGTGTTCTGGAGGGGATCCGTATCTGCAGACAGGGCTTCCCCAACCGTATCGTCTTCCAGGAGTTCAGACAAAGGTACCGTAAACGCTCCCATTGTGGCTGCATACGAATGTCTTTTCACCAGTTCCCCAACTTAACCTCATTATTGTTGCATCATGCTGTGTATGTTGCTTCTGGTGAGTTGAGTCCAACTCTGATGATCCCCTGCATGTGCCTTTGTCTCTCTCTAAGGTACGAGATCCTCACTCCCAACTCCATCCCCAAGGGCTTCATGGATGGCAAACAGGCTTGTGTGCTCATGGTAAGAGAGAAGGGCATTATTCTCTTGTTCTAGAACATTCTCACTCATTCAGAATGAAACAGAACGAAGAGATGAATATTGTCACAGTTGAACTGATTGTATACCTCACCCTCCTGTCAGATCAAAAGCCTGGAGCTGGATCCCAACCTGTTCAGGATTGGTCAGAGTAAGGTGTTCTTCAGGGCTGGAGTGCTAGCTCACCTGGAGGAGGAGAGGGACATGAAGATCACTGACGTCATCATCAGCTTCCAGGCCTGGTGCAGAGGCTACGTGGCCCGCAGGTAAGGAGACCCCCTGACTCCAACGGTCTTATCATATGGCTGCAGTGAAAAAGTTTTGATTTAATGTCTTATAACTGTATTTAGAAGATATGTAAGTGTTTCTCTCTCTCTCTCTCTCGCTCTGCAGGGCCTTTGCCAGGAGACAGCAGCAGCTGACCGCCATGAAGGTGATCCAGAGGAACTGTTCTGCCTACCTCAAACTCAGGAACTGGCAGTGGTGGAGACTCTTCACCAAGGTACACACTGTACTTATGCTACTGTTGTTCCTTTACCATGGTACTGGACTCAGCCGAACCCCCTGGGAATACTGGGGTACAATAGCCTTTCTATTCTCCTCTTAACTGTCCCTCTCCCTTCGTCCCCCAGGTGAAGCCCCTGCTGCAGGTGAGCAGGCAGGAGGAGGAGATGCAGGCCAAGGACGATGAGCTGACCAAGGTGAAGGAGAGGCAGGAGCATGCTGAGATGCAGCTGCAGGAGATGGAGGTCAAACAGCACCAGGTAAGATGAGGCCCTCCATCACTGGAGCAGCCCAAAAGTAACATGTTGATCATTTATAATAAAACAATAGTTTGCGCAACCTAACTTGAAACGGCATTGATGAACCCTTAACACCATATTTTCTCTGTCTCCCCCAGTTGAGTGCCGAGAAGCAGGCCCTGCAGGAGCAGCTGCAGGCTGAGACAGAGCTGTGTGCCGAGGCGGAGGAGATGAGAGCCCGTCTGGCCGCTAAGAAGCAGGAGCTAGAGGAGATCCTTCATGACCTGGAGGCCAGAGTGGAGGAGGAGGAGGAGAGAGCCACACATCTGCAGACAGAGAAGAAGAAGATGCAGCAGAACATCACGGTGAGGGCACACACAAACCAACACACACTTTGTGGGCAGCATGGCAGGTACACACTGTGCTAACTCTTTCTCCTCCTGTGTGTGTGTGTGTAGGACCTGGAGCAGCAGTTGGATGAGGAGGAGGCTGCCAGGCAGAGGCTGCAACTGGAAAAGGTGACCACAGACTCCAAGCTGAAGAAGATCGAGGAGGATGTCATGGTTCTTGAAGACCAGAACAACAAACTCATGAAGGTCCGTATCCAACCATCAATGGGCAGACAGGTGTATGGATACAGGTGTATGGATGGACGAGGGATGGATCTGTATAAGTAAAATGTATAGAATTGTGTTGTGAACTCCTGGTTGTGTTGTGGGTGTCCCACAGGAGAAAAAGCTAATGGAGGAGCGTATCTCTGAGTTCACCTCTAACCTGACTGAGGAGGAGGAGAAGTCCAAGAGCCTTCAGAAACTCAAGAACAAGCACGAGGCCATGATCACTGACCTGGAGGGTAGGTGGAGCACACGCACCATGTTGACCAAGTTGCTCTTATTTCCTCCTTAACTCTTCTTCTCCCTTAGACCGCCTGCGCAGGGAGGAGAAGGGCCGTCAGGAGCTGGAGAAGAACAGGCGTAAGCTGGAGGGAGACTCTACTGATCTCCTTGACCAGATAGCTGAGCTGCAGGCCCAGATCGCTGAGCTCCGCGCCCAGCTGGCCAAGAAGGAGGAGGAGCTGCAGGCAGCCCTGGCCAGGTGGGATCTCTACAAGATCTCTGAAATCACATATAAACATACATACGTAGTGGCTTTAGTGTGATCACTCTGTAAATTGTATTTACATGGCATAATGAATGTTATAACACCCTCCATTTTCCCTCTCCTTCTCCCCTCAGGATTGAGGAGGAGGCAGCCCAGAAGAACTTGGCCCAAAAGAAGATCCGGGAAATGGAAGCCCAGCTGTCTGAGCTGCAGGAGGACCTGGAGCTGGAGAGGGCCGCACGCACCAAGGCTGAGAAGAACCGCAGGGACCTGGGAGAGGAGCTGGAGGCCCTCAAGACTGAGCTGGAGGACACACTGGACTCCACTGCTGCCCAGCAGGAGCTCAGGTACTGACACCCAGAGGAGATCAGTTACATAGTCGGCCACTGTGTTTAAATGAAACTGGTTTATTGTGAAATAAGATGACACATAATGGATGCCATCATGTTGACCTTCTAGAAAGAAATGTTCATGAGTTGATGACAATTCCTTGTTTCCCAGTATTTAGCTTAGCACACAATCTGACAATGTCCTATTCCCGCTTTCCTTCGTTTCTCTACTTCTGTCTGTCAGGACCAAGCGTGAGACTGAGGTGAACCAGCTGAAGAAGGTTCTAGAGGACGACGCCAAGGTCCACGAGCAGCAGGTGGTGGAGATGAGACTGAAACACAGCCAGGCCTTCGATGAGCTCAACGAGCAACTGGAGCAGGCCAAGAGAGTGGGTGATATACACGCATACATGCATACATGCATGCATGCATGCATACAGTGAGGGGAAAAAAGTATTTGATCCCCTGCTGATTTTGTACGTTTGCCCACTGACAAAGAAATGATCAGTCTATAATTTTAATGGTAGGTTTATTTGAACAGTGAGAGACAGAATAACAACAAAATAATCCAGAAAAACGCATGTCAAAAATGTTATAAATTGATTTGCATTTTAATGAGGGAAATAAGTATTTTACCCCCTCTCAATCAGAAAGATTTCTGGCTCCCAGGTGTCTTTATACAGGTAACGAGCTGAGATTAGGAGCACACTCTTACAGGGAGTGCTCCTAATCTCAGCTTGTTACCTGTATAAAAGACACCTGTCCACAGAAGCAATCAATCAATCAGATTCCAAACTCTCACCATGGCCAAACCAAAGAGCTCTCCAAGGATGTCAGGGACAAGATTGTAGACCTACACAAGGCTGGAATGGGCTACAAGACCATCGCCAAGCAGCTTGGTTAGAAGGTGACAACAGTTGGTGCGATTATTCGCAAATGGAAGAAACACAAAATAACTGTCAGTCTCCCTCGGCCTGGGGCTCCATGCAAGATCTCGCCTCGTGGAGTTGCAATGATCATGAGAACGGTGAGGAATCAGCCCAGAACTACACGGGAGGATCTTGTCAATGATCTCAAGGCAGTTGGGACCATAGTCACCAAGAAAACAATTGGTTACACACTACACTGTGAAGGACTGAAATCCTGCAGCGCCCGCACTGTCCCCCTGCTCAAGAAAGCACATATACATGCCCGTCTGAAGTTTGCCAATGAACATCTGAATGATTCAGAGGAGAACTGGGTGAAAGTGTTATGGTCAGATGAGACCAAAATGGAGCTCTTTGGCATCAACTCAACTCGCCGTGTTTGGAGGAGGAGGAATGCTGCCTATGAGCCCAAGAACACCATCCCCACCGTCAAACATGGAGGTGGAAACATTATGCTTTGGGTGTGTTTTTCTGGTCATGGGGAACCATAGGAAACTCACCGTATCAAAAGGGACGATTGGACCATGTACTAATCTGGGGTTTCTCAGCAGGGGTGCAAATATTAGTTTCCCTCAATAAAAATGGCAAAACAAAGTTTAGAAACACATTTTGTGCATGCGTCTTCCGGACTTTTTGTTGTGGTGAATTCGAGTTCCAACGCTCAAACTTTAAACTACATTAAAATTAAAGAGTGATCATCTCTGGATTGTCCAGGTGGCCAAACGTAAGAAAGTCAGCAGTGGATCAAAAGTTTTCCACCAGTACATACATGCAATCAATACTAATCCCTCAAATGCAAATCAATTTGTAACATTTTGTACATGCTTATCTATTCTTGTGTATTCTGTCCCACTCTCCCCTATAAGAACAGTTGTCAGTGGAAAGTACAACAGCAGGGGTCTTCCCCTCCCCTAACAGAACAAGGTGTCAGTGGAGAAGACCAAGCAGGCTCTGGAGAGTGAGCGTAACGAGCTGGCCATCGAGCTGCAGAGCCTGATGCAGGGGAAGGGAGACTCTGAGCACCGCAGGAAAAAGGCTGAGGGCCAGGTCCAGGAGCTACAAGTCAAACACGGAGAGAGCGAGCGCCAGAGGATTGAGCTGGCTGAGAGAGTGGCCAAGATGCAGGTACAGTACCATTCATCTCCTTTCAGGGACGATTTGAAACATGTGACCTGTACACTAGCTGTAAGGCCCATATTGATGACTGTTTTGGTTATTGTGTTCCTCCCAAGGCTGAGTTGGAGACTGTCAATGGCTTGCTCAGTGAGGTGGAGGGTAAGTCCATCAAAGCATCCAAGGACTGCTCTGCTGTGGAGTCTCAGCTGCAGGATGTACAGGTACAGCACTCCATAGACTACAACAGATCCAAGTATTAAATAATGAACTAGTTTTGTCATGGTTATCTGTAAACGTTGCTATAACCGGACTATAACCGTGCCGGCCTTTCTCTTCTAACTACAGGAGCTGCTCCAGGAGGAGACTCGTCAGAAGCTGTCCATGGGCACTCGTCTGCGTCAGCTGGAGGATGAACAGAACACTCTGAGAGAACAGCTGGAGGAGGAGGAGGGGAGCAAGAGGAACGTGGAGAAGCAGCTGCTCACCGTGCAGGCTCAGGTAAACACACACACACTTACAGCAGCATACACCTTAAAATTGGATTGACGCAAATGTGCTATTAGATTTTGTTCAACACATCACTAGAACCCATAAACCACACCACAATGTTTGAGTGACAGGCGGTGTCCCCCTATAGCTGGCAGAGATGAAGAAGAAGTCTGAGCAGGAGGCGGGCTGTCTGGAGAACGCGGAGGAGGGGAAGAAGAGGTTGCAGAGGGACCTGGAGGGGCTCAGCCAGCGAATGGAGGAGAAGTGCAGTGCCTTTGAGAAACTGGACAAGACCAAGACTCGTCTGCAGCAGGAGCTGGACGACATGGTGGTGGACCAGGACCACCTCAGACAGACCGTAACCAACCTGGAGAAGAAGCAGAAGAAGTTCGACCAGGTTAGTAGTAACACTAGCTAGGTTTCCATCCAGTTGGTGACAGATTTTCATGCAAATATTGTAAGATCTGCATAAAAACAATGTGTTTTCCCAGCAGAGATGTTTCCATCAAATTGACTTGTTGCGGATAAAAGGCTGTACGTGATGACGTAGTGCACATAAAAAGAACTATTGCGGATAAATTCCAATGTACCGAATTTTTAAAAGTTACGTTAAATGGGTTTCCATCGAATTTTCAACTCTACTGATGGTTTTGTCAGATTATTATTTTTTGCGTTCTATAGCGAATGTGCCCACTCTGGCCTTGATACGTGCGCTTTAGCCAACAGCTCGCAGATAGTGCAGGTGAACTACCTACATACGGTTATTATGGACAGAAGAGCAAGGTTTTTATTAGTTAAACGGCAGCCAAGCATCGACCATCATGTCACCAGAGTAAGAGTAAGACCCTCATTATTTATTGGAAAGGAGCATCAAGCTCATTACTGTGCACTTTCACCACCCTGTGACATTCATCATAACGCATTTCATCTAACCTAATAAACTGTATGCTTTCCCGAGTCGTAGTGGGAGGACCTCACATGTCTTCACGTTACTCCAAGTTTACTTCGATATGATGGTTACTATATCAGTATTTGTGCATAAAGGCATTTCCACCACCATTTCTCGCAGAATTAATTTTAGACCCAAAAAGATCCCACCTGTTTTGCTGTTTCCATCAGGCCTGTCGTGACCTTTTTTTTTTTTTTACCAGACGTGTACTTTACTTGCATTCAAAGGGTGTAGGAAACCTGGTTACTGTCCACAATTTAATTCACTCAAACTGGGGGGTAAATTACTTGGAAGTGTTGATTTTATGAAAATCCATAACTATTAGGGAAAAATCTGGGTCTTGAAATACAGTATGTTGTATGACATTCCTCCATTTTACTTATAGATGCTGGCTGAGGAGAAGACCATCTCATGCCGCTACGCTGAGGAAAGGGACAAGGCTGAGGCTGAGGCCAGGGAGAAGGAGACCCGGGCCCTGGCTCTGACCCGCGAGCTGGAGTCCCTCATTGACATGAAGGACGAGATGGACCGCGCCAACAAGCTGCTCCGCGCTGAGATGGAGGACCTGGTCTCCTCGAAGGATGATGTCGGCAAGAGTGTAAGACAGCCGAGTGTCATTTGGGGGGGGGGGGGGGGGGGTGTTGAATTGTTCAATTAAAATCCTTTGTTTTCATACTGGTCCCAAAGTCCTGCTATTTCTCATCACAATCTCCACTATTTTCCTTCAGGTGCACGAGCTGGAGAAGTCCAAGCGTGGCATGGAGCAGCAGCTGGAGGAGATGAGGACTCAGCTGGAGGAGCTGGAGGACGAGCTGCAGGCCACGGAGGACGCCAAGCTGCGTCTGGAGGTCAACATGCAGGCCATGAAGGCCCAGTATGAGAGAGACCTGGCAGGACGAGATGAGATGGGCGAGGAGAAGAAGAGACAGCTGATCAAACAGGTACACTAGTAGCTACAGGCTTAACTTGGTAGGTAACGGTTCCTTACTGTGTGTTATTTGTCCACTGCATAATGGGACATGTAGTCCAGTGATTGAAAGCTTGAATCTCTCTGGTCCTCAGGTGCGTGAGATGGAATTGGAGTTGGAGGATGAGCGGAAGCAGCGCTCTGTTGCCGTGGCAGCCCGTAAGAAGCTGGAGCTGGACCTGAAGGAGCTGGAGGCAGCAATCGACATGGCCAACAAGAACCGTGATGAGGCCCTCAAACAGCTTAAGAAGCTTCAGGTAACAACCAATTACATTATCACCAGCTTCTGACCTATAGTATGTTTTTATACCATGACCACATTCTATTCAAATCAAGATGCATGCAGATGGTGAGTAGTTTGCTAGAAATATATGTTTTGAACCTCTCCCTCCTCTCCACCAGGCCCAGATGAAGGAGCTGCTGAGGGAGCTGGAGGACACTCGTATGTCCAGAGACGAGATCATGGCCCAGGCCAAGGAGAACGAGAAGAAGCTCAAGAGCATGGAGGCCGACATGATCCAGATGACAGAGGTCAGTCTGCACTGCTGCCCCTCACCTAACATCTCACACTAGTCTGTCTCCTTTTATTCTCACCTGACACCTCACCCTCCCAAACAGTAAAAAACCGACTTCTGTAACTAACTCTTTTTATAAATCCTACCGTGAGAAACTGTATTTGCACATAACTCAAACTTTTGCACAAATCCTCCACAGTTAGTTATGAGCGCTTATCTCAAGTTAGGATTTGGCCCTGTGTGTCTTCCATTTTCATGCCACTCCCACACACACTCTTTGGTTCCCCCCCCCTCAGGAGCTGGCTGCTGCAGAGCGGGTGAAGAGACAGGCCCAGCAGGAGAGAGACGAGCTGCAGGATGAGATCAACAACCAGGCCGCCAAGAAGTAGGAACCATTTTCTACATCTTTCATAACCTACTGTTGTTTATCTCTGCCTCTAATGACCCAAATGTCTATCCCTCGCTCTCGTCTCTCCCTCCTTTCTTTCCCACTGTTCCTTTTTCTCTCAGCGGTCTGATTGCGGAGGAAAAACGGAGACTGGAGGCTCGTATCGCACAGCTGGAGGAGGAGCTGGAAGAGGAGCAGTGTAACACTGAGCTGGTCAACGATAGGCTGAAGAGAACTCTGCTGCAGGTAGGACAGCCAAGGACGGCAGTTGACGTTCATGCAGCATGTGTACAGACGGGATAGTTTACGTCTAATGATAAGGTGGGTCAGGCCATAAGTACAGTTTAACCCCCTGTCTCTGTCAGACTGACCAGATGACTGTAGAGATGACGGCAGAGCGCAGTACCTCCCAGCGCCTGGAGGGGGCCCGCTCCCAGCTGGAGCGCCAGAACAAGGAGCTGAAGCTGAAGCTGCAGGAGCTGGAGGGAACCGTCAAGTCCAAGTACAAGGCCACTATCGCTGCCCTGGAGGCCAAGATCGCCCAGCTGGAGGAGCAGGTGGACATCGAGACCAGGTGAGTGGGTCTGAGCCTGACCTTAGACCCCCTGAGGCTCTGCCATCAGCATCCTCATTCAGATAACCCACCTCTCCTGGGCTCTGCATAATTCTAAATATTAACTGAAATTACAGCATGGATGAGATCAGATGGTGAAAATCCCACAAGCCATGGAGAAGTTAAGTAGAAGTTTCAGCCTGTCCATGTGATCCCAAATGTTTCTTTCCACAGGGAGAGGCAGCAAGCGTCCAAGCTGGTGCGCCGCACAGAGAAGAAGCTAAAGGAGGTCGTCCTCGCGGTGGACGATGAGAGACGCAACACAGAGCAGTACAAAGACCAGGTCAGGGCTCGGATATCTAGCTTAAACACAAGCCCAACAGCTTTACACCAGCCAACATGAAGTCTCCTGTGTAACTCTAGTTTGTATGAATGATTTAATGGATTACATTTATATAAAGCGTTTCACTAGATTCCAGTGTACTTTACATTGTCTTGGAACCCCAATCCACCACCTATGTGTAGCATTCACCTTGGTACTTGAAGCTAATGCGTTGTGTGTGTGTGTGCACGCAGTCGGACAAGCTGAACTCTCGTATGAAGCAGCTGAAGAGGCAGCTTGAGGAGTCTGAGGAGGAAGCCCAGAGAGCCAACGCCAACCGCAGGAAACTGCAGAGGGAGCTGGAGGACGCCACAGAGTCAGCCGACGCCATGAACCGCGAGGTCAGCACCCTCAAGAGCAAGCTCAGGTACGTACACTCCTCCACTGCACATCACCCAAACTGACTAAATGCTGAAGCACTGTACTAGCACCCTACACAGCATACTTGCGTTTACAATGTATGTTTCAAACACATTCCCTCATCTGCTACATTACTGATCATATGTCCTCAGAGGGCCTCCATTTTGATTTGTTGGCCCTCCATGACTCTATTCCATGGTATATGTGTTGTGTCCCTGTCACGACCTCTCTGCCTTACTCACTGATCCCTGCTGTCTCTGTTCCAGGCGTGGAGACCTCCCCTTCACCATGCGCCGCATTGTCAGCCGCGCAGGCATTGAGAGCGACGAGGAGAGTGAGCCCAAGAGCGAGACCCCCGAGCCCAAGCCTGAATGAACAGCCAGTGTTCCCTGCTGTCCGCAACAGTCATACACACACAACACACACATACCACTTAAAGTAACGCATGCACTTAGAGGGACACAAACATCATGATACTGTATGATTTAGAGGCAGTAAATAGGCTTTTTTCACAGCCAGACCTCAGTCTCTCTCTAAGCCTTATGGGGAGACTTGACAATCTATGTACACTTGTATTCCGTACACATCCATACAAGCCAATACAACATAGTACTTCAGACAATCACCATACTGACATACATAACGCATACAAACTTGTGGGCCCAATTTCTTTTCTCATGCTTCATTCTTCATTCTCTGGGAAAAAAATTAAAATGAATGATATTTTTGTAAGGAAACATTCCAATAGAAATAGTCCTGTTTTGGGATCTTTTTTCTAACTGACGCAAGAACGAACGAAATAAGTATAAATAAATGAAGAAGGATTACTCGAAGGGGACCAAAGTAATATCGCAATCTATAGATTTGTATTTTATTCGAAAGTTTTTATAATGGTTAAGTATGAAAGTACTACATGTCTATTATGGCTCTTGCTCGCTCTCACCTCAGTTTATAATGGAGGTTTATGTGCTCAATTGTACCGGATTAATTTAGCTGTGGATAGTACTTAAAACACATATGCTTTTGGGCTTAAGAAACCGATACATCTATAGACACACACAAAACACACAAAGCACACAAAATTAATTGGAGAATCACAGTAATGTACAAACATTTGATTGTGCTGAAATTTCTAATTTTTGCACTGAGATTTAAGACTGGATTAGAAATTATAAACCATTACATAGGTGCATTAAATTGAAGACATTGATAGACAGGGCAGATGCACCTCAAACAAGAAAAGACAAAGTGAGAGTAACTGCAGGCTCATATGTATTCATGCCAACACACACTAAAGCCGTACACACACACAGTCAAATTCTACTGTTAAAGGGTGTTAATTCCTGGATCCATGTATTGATTTTTATATGCATTTCTTTACTACTATCAATGTTTTTATTGATGCGCAGGGCAAAGGTTACGGGGTGGTGGGGTAGTTTATTACTCACGGCACACTGTATTCTCAGAGCACTGCTTGGCGGGGTATAGGGGTGGTTGAACAGAATCAAGCATGTTGTTGGGATGAGTGGGACGTGGTTACATTTTGCAGCACCGTAGTCTAACACATCACATGATATCTTGATGGCATCCTTTTTACTTTCTCTGACTAAAAGATTGGGAAGATGAGATGACTCCCTGTTGAAATGCCTGGCCAGGTGTTAATAGTCCTTTGTGTTTGAGGGATGGGGTGAGGTAGATGAGGGATGGTGCTTTAGGTCTGGGTGAACTATGACCCCTGCAGGCTGTGCTCAGGGTTGCCTTTTTTGCTCACACTGCTGGGAAGTGAGAGGAATTTGTTATTAATTACAGATAACAGACAAAGGATCACTCTCTTTCTCACACTTGGAAGCAAAAAAAAGAAAATATAAAAAAATCTACATTTTGTACTGTTCATTTTCTCTGCAGCTCTGAAAATGAAATCGTGAGGCGAGTTGTTGGTATTATTGCAATAAAGATGGCTTTCTAAACTGCTACCACTGACTCCTGAGACTATTTCTTTTTTATGTCCATATTAATGGGGCAATCAGCAGTTGCTTTTGTACCTAGCTACATTTTTAAAAATCTATTGCTTCTTAAAGAATATAACTTATAAATGCATTTGAGCTTAGTTCAAAGTAAATGTAAACAAACAAATAGCCTCAACATGGTTCAAACTAAAAAATGTATATAATGGATGGTCAGTCCTTACATCCATAGTATTGTCAATGAATTTGAGTGGTCCATTTCTCCAGCCCCATCCCTCAGCTGTTTACTGAAACAGGGGCGGGTATTTCGCGTTAATGTTTCTACTGCTGATTGCTGCTTTAAACTGGCAATACTCTAAACTATACTATCTGATCTAATATTGTGCAGTGGTCTTTTTTGTTTTTTTGATGCAACGTCATCTCAGACATGACCACAAGAGGACAGTCTTGACTGAAAAATCCCAATTGAAATGGTTCCACAGGACAAGCTCGGGATAATAATGCAGCAAGTCTAAACCGGTTTAAACAGAATCTTGCACACAAGGATGGACAGATTTGGGTGAGAACTGAGCGTTGTTCTTATATTGTATAAATACAACGGCTACAATATTTCAGTGAATGGCCTTGCTTGATAATAGTTTAATCAAATAATTACATATTTCTGTTGATTACATATTTTGTATTTTCTCCATTTCAATGCTTTTCCCTATGAATTTATACATTTGAGTTCTCATTGTCCACGTCATCGGGTTGTGTTCTCTACAATGTGTTCGCCTGTGTTCTCATTCTAATTAATTTAAATAGTATTAGACATTGCACGATTTTCAGACTGGGATACGCTTCTGACAACTATCGTGCTCATGATAGCGAGGGTATTGTAGTAGAGCTTCCTATTGGTTGATTCTGGTACTTTCACGTTGGAAAGTTTCAAAGTCGCGGCATTAGCTCCTAAATTCCTGGGTGGGATTCCTGAGATACATAGAGTTCCAAATAAGATCACTGTAGGTCTATGTTTATCATGATTGAAAAATGATCCAGTGTGAGACCTGTGATAAATGTTGCCCATATTTGTTGTAGTTGTAAGAAAGTTAAATCATATTTTTAACTATCTTGAGTGTTAGTCGACATGTACATTAGAGGTTGACATGGGAGTTCAAATACATACTGTCCCGTCTTGACCTGTCAATTTTCTCCTGTACTGTCCTGATCCCGCAACAGTTCTATAACCCTGGATAAAAATCACTCCTGTCCCGTGCTAATTCTTACGCGCAGAAATGTGTAGGCTATTGAAATATGTATACACTGTACATCCTCAAATTCCCTAATGTCTGAATGAGTGTGCTACTAGTCATTTAGCGATGTCTGTGTTACATTAACAATAGTCATTGTATTAATCTGTTTCAGTGTATAAAATGAGTGTGATGAGTCACTTGACTCTCTCACAAAATCAGTCACATAGATGTATGCCCATTGAGATTGAGGGGTTTGTCTGTACCCATTTAAAGTAATGTCTTGAAATGACAGAACATATTCCATAAAAAAGGAATATCAAGAGTCTGGAGTATGGACACATTATTAAACCCAGTCCTGGACTAAAAAGCACTTTCAAACTTCATTTGGCCACCGATGCCTCTTCAAAAAGTATTGAGAGCATGAGGCTTCAGGCCCCCCTCCACATATACATGCATGTGTACACCACACAGAGAGACATATATACACCCTCACACAGATGTGCACACACACTCATGAGAAACATGTGCAGCATGATCAGGGTGTATGTTTTGCTAATGTGCTGGGTGGTGATCTTTGATTAGTTAATAAGTAACTGTGTGTCTTAAATTGGAACCATAGTGTGAGTCAGGTGATTCCAATAGTAGGTCTGTGCTGTGGTGAGTGTCCCAAACCCCACAGTGTATCAGTCAGTGTCAGAGGCAGTGCAGCTCTCTAGTATCTGCTGTAAGGGACACACTGTATCAACATTGCAAAACCCCTGTGCTGTAAGTTACAGCCTGTAACATTCTATATCAGTTTTGAAATGTTCTCCTGTTTTGTGTTCTGTAATGGGGTGCGCAGCTGAAATGTCCAATCTTGAAATCTTCACTTGTTATCTCATGTGCAGGAGCGTTTGGGAAAGTTGCTGAATGGACAGCGGCAGAGTAAGGACTGAGAAAGTGATTCAAAAAGAGGAAAAAACATACGAAGATTTTGATCATACAAGGACAACATTATTGGATTTGAATTCATTCTCAACTTTCAAAATAACCATGGAACTGTCTCTGGTGAGTGGAATATTTTTTCCTTTTCCCCCCTTTTTTAAAACATATTTTTTATATATCATTTAGCATTTGATCCATAGTGAAAGTCTGAAGGACAATAATTCTAGAGTAACTCCAGTGACTGATATACATGTACTGTACTGTGAATAGGTGAGTATGTTTTATTGACAGGGTGTCAGTGGTCTAAGGGCTTGGGTTTTAATATTTAAGATCTCAGTTAAGATTTCACATGCATTTTATGTCAGGCTGTGATTTTGGATCAGGGAACCCAGCCCTACTTTCTCAATCCAGCCCCTATGTTAATCACAGTACCATCCTGTGACATAGTTGATTGACACAGTTGTCCATCCCCCCTCTAACCTGATGGAAGTTTCAGGCAACTTTCATACTATGCACTTTCTCAGGCTGTTCTAGAATTCAATGTTTTCTGTGTTTACAAGTTCTCTATTGTCCTCTGCCCTGAAGTGGGTCAAACTCCGGGGTGCCACCTTAAATCTTCATAGACATGCCAAACAAGTGGGCAAGGCTTTGCCAAGCCTCCACTGTGCCAACACTGCCATTGGTCAACAAGCACTGTTGGTGGGCTGTTGCCATAGCGCCCTCATTAAGGGAGGGGCAGGGACATTTTGAGAAAGTGTTGTATGTTTCAAGTCCAAGTGAATGAGTACAGGTTGTCAATGTTACATCGCAGTACATGAACTACCTAGTAATTTACCAGAGCTGAGGACATTGAAATGTACTAGAATTCATGCCCAGTGATAAGGAAATAAAGGCATTTTTACACTCAAGTAGTTCTATAGTTCTATAGCAGCACATAGCCTAACCATATACGCTCTAGAATGTAAACCGTGATAAGTTGTTTTATGGAAGCCAGAACATACAAAAACATGCGTATGCGCTCATACACACACATACTGACATTTACAATGTATGACGCATGGCATTTTGCAGAGATGTGCATTAGCTGGAAGCAGAAAGACGAAGGGTAGAGTAGGAGTAGCAGCATTGAGAGGTTGTGTGTGAGAGAGAGTGGAAACATACGCCAGTGGATTAAGCTGCATTTGTGAAGGGAAACTGAGGCAAGCTTATAGAGAAATGAAGTGAGGGATGGAGGCTTTTGCCCTGACAACCCACCACTGTTCATAACAGCGTAGCCAGAGAGGGGAGGAAAACACGGACAAATGCAGGAAAAACAGATTCAGCCACTGAAAAGGAGCCCGGGGAAGGTAGGGATGTGAGCTGTAGGAGGGATGTGTGTGTTGTTTTGTATATTGTGTGTGTGGCGTCTTATTTTTTGTCTATAATACAGCATATGAACATTGGAGTGACTGGGGATGGTGTATGTGATGCTTTTTCTGCAGCCGTCCAGTTCTTTGTTGATGTTTGTGTTGGCAGATTGTTTAGAGAACTAAGCATGCCAATTATGATCATGCATTATAACACATACCTGATGTAGGGTGACACTTGCAGGCAGGGGAATAGTGTGGTTCATGGGTTGATGCATCTTAGTTTTTCCAATGGAGAGTCCTTTACCCATTTGCCTGTTCTCTTCGTGGTCCCATGTAAACTTACACAAAAAAATTTAAACATTTCTTTGTGTTGTAATCACTCATATTCTTGAGTCTGAATGTTTGTTTTACTACTTTTGTGGGTGTTTATATAATGTGAATTACTGTAGCGAGTGTATGTGCATTTGTCGTATTTCCCAGAACCCACTCTGCCTGGTGCTCTCCATCGTAAACAATCATAAAGCCCATCACGCTTTGGGCTCTCACTGAAGAGCACTCTACCATGACTGCTGTGTGATCGGTGTTAACACTCTCCCTTCCTCTCCTCCCTGCTTGTCTCTCCCCTCAGGCTCACCCGGCTCTCAAGGCCTTTATGTGTGGCTCTCTCAGTGGAACATGCTCCACCCTGCTCTTTCAGCCTCTGGACCTGGTCAAGACCCGCCTGCAGACCCTTCAGAGCAACATGCAGCCTGGGTGAGTAGCCTTCAGCTGGCTCAGTCAATACCTCTACAGCGTAGTCCACACACTTCCACATTGTAGTAAGTTTTCTGGCTCTAGATTACATGCTTGTACTAGACCATGAGACCCACTAGCATTGCATTACTCTATTGACTCGTCTCATTGAATAAGCAAGATTGTAGATCTGAACATTGAGAGTCCAAAGATTCATAAAACTCATGCTGGTTACATATGGCCTGCATGTTAGTACCAACTCAATGTCACGTCAGCTATTTTGAAATGAAGCGTAGTTGCAAGACACTTAAAAATCACTTTTTGATCGTTTCAGAGTACAGTGTGTTACTTGTGTTAATACGTCTTTCTCTCTCTCTTTCTCTTTTTCAGTTCAGCAAGAGTGGGGATGGTGACTGTGTTCTTAAGTGTTGTACGGACAGAGAAGCTCATAGGACTTTGGAAGGGGGTCTCACCAGTAAGTCTGCCTCTTTATGATCAGTAATATAAATAGAAACACATCAGTTGTGTTGAATCTGTGTGTTGAGTATACTGTATGACTCTGACAGCATGTCTACTCTGCTTCCTCCTCCAGTCATTTGTGCGGGCCATCCCCGGCGTAGGGATCTACTTCAGCACCTACTACTCTCTGAAGCAGCACTACTTCCTGGAGCAGGGCCCTGGGGCCATGGAGTCTGTGCTGCTGGGAGCTGGGGCCAGGACTGTGGCAGGGGTCTGCATGCTGCCTGTAACTGTCATCAAGACTCGCTTTGAGGTATGTTCAGGTAGAGAGACGGAGGGGAGGGGCAGGAAGGAAAAGATAAATACTTTGTATTTTCTATATATGATTGCAGTGACTACATGAGGACTGTTTAATGTGTATACTTGTCTGTTGTTGTTGTTTCAGAGTGGCAGGTATAACTACGTGAGCGTGGCAGGGGCTCTGCGCAGTGTGTGTCAGACAGAGGGACCCAGAGCTCTGTTCTCAGGGCTGGCCGCCACCCTCCTCAGAGATGCTCCCTTCTCAGGCCTCTATGTCATGTTCCACAGCCAGGCCAAGAACACTCTGCCACAGGGTCAGTATCAGGACACAGGACACACACTACACTAATGCTCAACACTAGTATTTGTTTCACTAGTTGTGTGTGCAATCACTTTGAAGTGTCAGTATGGGGACATTGATGACATAAACATAGAGCAGTAGTATTTGTTACACTAGTAGCCACATTTGATAACTTTGACGTATCTCTCTCTCAGTGTGAATTGTTTGGTGTGGAGTGGAATTTATAGTGTCTCTCTGTTTCTTTCTCCCAGAGATAAGCACATCTCCCTACGCGCCCCTGGCTAACTTCAGCTGTGGGATTCTGGCTGGGGTCCTGGCCTCCCTGGTCACCCAGCCAGCTGACGTGGTCAAAACCCACGTCCAAGTCAGCCCACATCTGTACAAGAGGACTGCAGACGCTGTGCGATACATTTACATGGTAACTATCTCTCTGGGTGTTTTATTGAATACAGCGTCTATTACTAAGCATAGGGCAATAGCACTGTTGTATAATATACTGACGTTGTTCTTATGTGGGTCAGGCTAAATTGTTGTCTATATGTGTTTATATATTGACCTCTAGTTTGAACACAGTGTCACACTATGTAATAAAACATCAGGGTTGATTTACAGTAGTTGACATGTGCCATTATTTCACTCCCTCTCTCAGGAGCACGGGTTTCAAGGGTTCTTCCGGGGCGGGGTGCCACGTTCTCTGAGGAGGACCATGATTGCTGCCATGGCATGGACGGTGTATGAACAGCTGATGGCCCGCATGGGGCTCAAGTCCTGAGGAGGGATGACAAAAAGGAGGGATGACAAGAAGAAGGGATGACAAGTCCTGAAGAGAGAGAATGAAATGAGGAACGTGTGGGGATCGAGGAAGAAAGAGAAAGTCAAGTCACTGAAGGAGGACAAACCATTACAGTGAGGAGTGCCCTGAAAGGCACTGTAGCTCAGTTGGTAGAGCAAGGCGCTTGCAACGCCAGTGTTGTGGGTTCGTTTCCCACGGGGGGCCAGTATGAAAATGTATGCACTCACTAACTGTAAGTCGCTCTGGATAAGAGCATCTGCTAAATGACTAAAATATAAAAATATAAGGCACTGCTGTGTAGTGTCTTAAGACTGCCTAGTTGTGAGAGTGTGCCAATGGACTTCTTCACTGACATACAGTATTCTGACATAACATCATTAACACATTGCATAAATATGATACTTCAAGGACTGGTATGGATACTTTGACAGAGAGATTGGGACTAGTCGTTTTATTAAAATGTCTGTATAATTGAATGGATTGCAATAGTTTTGCGTCGCACAATATTATCTGTCTTCATTGTGTGAGGCTACACCAAACTAGACTTTAATTTATGGTATCTTATTCTACTGGACTACTTTCAAAATACCATGTTGCACTATAAGTCGTATAATAATATTGTTGGTCCCTGACTAGCCACTGGACTCCCAGCCACACTGACTGTTTAAGCTACTCCAGGCTTTAGATATACAGTACCAGTCAAAAGTTTGGACACACCTACTCATTCCAGGTTTTTTCTTTATTTTTACTATTTTATACATTGTAAAATAATAGTGAAGACATCAAAACTATGAAATAACACATATGGAATCATGTAGTAACCAACAAAGTGTTAAACAAATGAAAATATATTTTATATTTGAGATTCTTCAAAGTAGCCACCCTTTGCCTTGATGACAGCTTTGCACACTCTTGGCTTTCTCTCAACCAGCTTCATGAGGTAGTCACCTGGAATGCATTTCAATTAACAGGTGTGCCTTCTTAAAAGTTAATTTGTGGAATTTATTTCCTTCTTAATGCTTTTGAGCCAATCAGTTGTGTTGTGACAAGGTAGAGTTGGTATAGCCCTATTTGGTAAAAGACCAAGTCCATATTATGGCAAGAACAGCACAAATAAGCAAAGAGAAATGACAATCCATCATTACTTTAAGACATGAAGGTCAGTCAATCTGGAAAATTTCAAGAACTTTTAAAGTTTCTTCAAGTGCAGTCGCAAAAGCCATCAAGCGCTATGAGGACCGCCACAGGAAAGGAAGACCCAGAGTTACCTCTGCTGCAGAGGATAAGTTCATTAGAGTTACCAGCCTCCGAAATTGCAGCCCAAATAAATGCTTCACAGAGTTCAAGTAACAGACGCATCTCAACATCAACTGTTCAGAGGAGACTGCGTGAATCAGGCGTTCATGGTCGAACTGCTGCAAAGAAACCACTACTAAAGGACACCAATAATAAGAAGATACTTGCTTGGGCCAAGAAACACGAGCAATGGACATTAGACTGGTGGAAAACTGTCCTTTGAGATTTTTGGTTCCAACCGCTGTGTCTTTGTGAGACGCAGAGTAGGTGAACGGATGATCTCCGCATGTGTGGTTCCCACCGTGAAGCATGGAGGAGGAGGTGTGATGGTGTGGGGGTGCTTTGCTGGTGACACTGTCAGTGATTTATTTAGAATTCAAGGCACACTTAACCAGCATGGCTACCACAGCATTCTGCAGCAATACGCCATCCCATCTGGTTTGCGCTTAGTGGGACTATAATTTGTTTTTCAACAGGACAATGACCCAACACACCTCCAGGCTGTGTAAAGGCTATTAGACCAAGGAGAGTGATGGAGTGCTGCATCAGATGACCTGGCCTCCACAATCACCCGACCTCAACCCAATTGAGATGGTTTGGGATGAGTTGGACCGCAGAGTGAAGGAAAAGCAGCCAACAAGTGCTCAGCATATGTGGGAACTCCTTCAAGACTGTTGGAAAAGCATTCCTCATGAAGCTGGTTGAGAGAATGCCAAGAGTGTGCAAAGCTGTCATCAAGGCAAAAAGGGTGGCTACTTTGAAGAATCTCAAATATAAAATATATTTTCATTTGTTTAACACTTTTCTGGTTAATATATGATTCCATGTGTGTTATTTCATTGTTTTGATGTCTTCACTATTATTCTACGATGTAGAATATAGTAAAAATAAAGAAAAACCTTTGAATGAGTAGGTGTGTCCAAACTTTTGACTGGTACTGTACAGTGACTTGCGAAAGTATTCACCCCCCTTGGCATTTTTCCTATTTTGTTTGTCTATAAGCTTGGCACATCTAGCCACTGGGATTTTTGCCCATTCTTCAAGGCAAAACTGCTCCAGCTCCTTCAAGTTGGATGGGTTCCGCTGGTGTACAACAATCTTTAAGTCATACCACAGATTCTCAATTGGATTGAGGTCTGGGCTTTGACTAGGCCATTCCAAGACATTTAAATGTTTCCCCTTAAACCACTCAAGTGTTGCTTTAGCAGTATGCTTAGGGTCATTGTCCTGCTGGAAGGTGAACCTCCGTCCCAGTCTCAAATCTCTGGAAGACTGAAACAGGTTTCCCTCAAGAATTTCCCTATATTTAGCGCCATCCATCATTCCTTCATTTCTGACCAGTTTCCCAGTCCATATGTTCGGGGAGTCGCCCACATGCCTTTTGTCGAACACCAAAAACGTGTTTGCTTATTTTTTTCTTTAAACAATAGCTTTTTTTCTGGCCACTCTTCAGTAAAGCCCAGCTCTGTGGAGTGTACGGCTTAAAGTGGTCCTATGGACAGATACTCCAATCTCTGTTGTGGAGCTTTGCAGCTCCTTCAGGGTTATCTTTGGTCTCTTTGTTGCCTCTCTGATTAATGCCCTCCTTGCCTGGTCCGTGTGTTTTGGTGGGGGGCCCTCTCTTGGCAGGTTTGTTGTGGTGCCGTATTCTTTCCATTTTTTTATAATGGATTTAATGGTGCTCCGTGGGATGTTCAACGTTTCGGATATTTTTTTATAACCCAACCCTGATCTGTACTTCTCCAAAACTTTGTCCCTGACCTGTTTGGAGAGCTCCGTGGTCTTCATGGTGCCGCTTACTTGGTGGTGTCCCTTGCTTAGTGGTGTTGCAGACTCTGGGGCCTTTCAGAACAGGTGTATATATATACTGAGATCATGTGACACTTAGATTGCACACAGGTGGACTTTATTTAACTAATTATGTGACTTCTGAAGGTAATTGGTTGCACCAGATCTTATTTAGGGGCTTCATAGCAAAGGGTGTGAATACATATGCACGCACCACTTTTCCGTAATTTTTTTAATTTCACTTCACCAATTTTGACTATTTTGTGTATGTCCATTACATGAAATCCAAATAATCATTTTAAATTACAGGTTGTAATGCAACAAAATAGGATAAACGCCAAGGGGGATTAATACTTTTGCAAGGCACAATTCAGCTGTGGAATTCTACAATGTTAGGTACCTGTTTTGCCTAGACTTTAGCACAACTTGTATCTGCTTGTCTTTAAATTGAAGGCAAAGAACACTAACTGCTTAACATACTGATCTGACCAATCTCCTTAGCTGAAAATGCACTTTAACTGCTCCCGTAATCTGAAAACCCTGGAGTGTGTCATACCGCAGTGAGTTGGTTGGAGTCTGCCTGCCTTCCCTTTGTGCCAAACGATTGCCACTGTACTAAGATATTATTCTGGTAGTGATGTTGTAACACATAATAAGCTTTGCTTGCTGTCCATTTGAGCTGTACAGTTGATTTGCCTTAAAATGGTATTATAATTTTTCATGTTTTCATATTTGATATAATTTATTACTGTTTATTGTAATGGTGAATAATTATGCTGGTGTGTTGAAGAGAACATTTTACTATTTTTTAAAGAAAATTCATAAAATTATATAAGAATACGACATGAGTCTGCTAGTTTTCATTATATAAGGTATTTGCATCCCTTTACACCTCTTTTCTTCCCTTTCTCTCTCCTCGCTCTCTGTGATACAACAGAAAGTGACATGGCATTAGTGCCTTTCCACCACTGCAACCCATTCGTCCTCAGAAGGAAATTAACTTACACATGACATACTGAATCCTGGCTGAGGCGGTGGGTAGGCGGTCACTGTGACAGAGACAGGCTGACACGCAGGCAGCTCAGCTTAGTCCAGACACATGTTCCAACAATGCCCTACTTATATGGCCCATAAATCACATGACAGTTGGTCTCGGAGCGTTAATAACTACTCCTACAACCCAACATTGCCCTCGTTATTCAAAGGGGATAATATGATAAGCCCACACAGTACTTAAGAGCAGTGGATGTTTCCAATATTACTACAGCAATATCGGAGGTAGCTTTTACTTTTCATTTCACCTTATACACACAGCCATTATGCCTACCCACAGTAATAACAGTGCATGATGATAATGTGCTTATCACAGAGCTGTCAGACAGAGATAAGACTGGGAGAAGGGGGCAGGGGTGTGACATCAAAAGGGACAGTTCATGATAAGGTGGGTGAAAGACAAGAGTCAAGCAAAAAGAAGTCATTAGGCTATACTGATCTTCAACTGACCTAAACCAGTTTGATTCAGGGCTGTGTCTGTGTTTGATAATTTGTTCATCTAGAAACCTTGTTGTACATTAAAACAGTGTTATTAGCTAAGTATGCCATATTTCATATGTTATTAGCTAAGTATGAGTCACATTTCAATGTCTGTGGATTACATGTCTGACTCATTATGTAAAACAAACACTGTTAACCTATTGGAAACTTTTGCACACAAACTGTGGTTATTTTTGGAGCTTAATGACATGTCACCCAGTTCCATCCCAATCAGCTATTCTCATTGGAAACCTCATATCAAAGACTGCAGTGATAGCCTGTGTCACAGTGGCCTTTGCTTACTACATTAGATAGGGAACACTGACATGTGAAGTGAGTTTGACACAGATTATGAGTGTATTGAGGTCGTAGATGATGTATGTGTGTAAACTTGCTGTGGAGAATACATAGATGCACCGCATGTATTAAGATTGAGCCACTGAAATGACTTTGAGAACACCCCAGTCTACTTATTAACTTAATTATCATTTTTTTAAAGTGGCCTATTCAATAAGTCATAAAAGTTTGTTATTTTTTATTCACTCAGTCACATAACCCCACTTCCCGCAATAATAGCATTTTAAAACAAATGGCAAAATCACTATGTACCAGTGGCGGCTCCTGAAAAAATTCTCAGGGGGGGGCAATTTTTCTGATGATTTAGGTGACCTACACACATTTTAAAAAAGATATGTCCAGCAACAACATGAAGACAGGGGCAGCATATAAGTCAATACCAGAAGCATTTATTGACTGATCTCAAAAGTGTTGGCTTACCAGGGTTGGTGGAGCCCTCAGTTTCATCTTTGCCTCGCAAAGCTAACTCAAACACTCCGCAAAACTTCACACACTGGATTAGCCGGCTGAGGATGTGGCGGTTCTTGCTAATGTCGTAGTAAATATATTTGTTATAGTGAATATGGAATATGATATGTTGAGTAAAATGTTGTGCTAAGATCTATTTAGGTCAGGAGCTGGTTATAAGTTCTGTTCCTATCCAATAACAATGGACAAAAGGGTCCTATCTTGTCAGCCTTGTCAGTTTCAGTTCTCCAGTAAACTTGTGATTATCAACACTAACCTCATCGTTGTGGCGGCGGACAGCTAGCCTGTATCCCTCATCCAGTTGAGTGGGAATGTTCACTCTCCCCAAAGCAGACAATCTCAAACAGCAATCCATGTGGGTCTTTGACAGCTCATGTTTCTTAATCTTTCCTGAAAGATGGTGCATGTCCGTTACACACCAGTCGCTGTCCAAGCGGTGCTGTCTGCCGTACCGCCTTCAGGGTGAAAGAGTAAGCAGGGTGTAGCAGAAGACTGCATTAGCTACATCGCAGCCTGCTAGCCAGGTTTTTCGTTCGTACCAATTTTTGGAAAATCCTCGGGTGTAGGACTTCCCCCCTTTAGTAGAAACCTGTTGAATTATTACATTTGGTCTGGGAGGTCCTAATTGTTTCGTTGCCAATTTATCTTCATTTGTTCGCCGACAAAAAGGAACTTCTTTCAAAGACACAATCGAGTTGCACTGAAGCCTAGCCATTTTCACAGTAGTAGTGAATTGATTGATGAGGCTACCCGCTCTTTTCTTAGTTACGTTCATGGTTATGTTACGTATGACGAAAGCGCGTAAGTGCAAGCCCTCAGAAACCCATAGAGATTGTATTGAAAGCTCTGATATTTGAAAAAAATAGATTTTACATGGGAGTCTATGACAGACTTCTGGGCGATTTTCAACCTGACTGAAATCGCCCCAAAAGGGGGGGGGGCCATTTGAAGCACGACTTTAGCCTGATTGGACATTTAGTGGCACTGTGGCAGATCAGACGTCTAGATTACAACACTGATAACTACTGTTGCCGTGATATAATTGATTAGAAAAAAAATCCCTTCCTTTTCCCGTTTGGCAGTGCGTCGCCCATATCGCCCTATTGAACACACCGCCCCTGCTATGTACATATTGTGATACCTTCACCTGGAACTCCGTATCTCTAGCAAATAAAGTTGCAACACAGGCCACTCTAACCGAGAAGTCAACGTCTCCCCATTGTCTTAATATGGTCTTTCCATCGCATTGTCTTAATATGGGCTCCTCGTCCGACGTCTAGTTACCGGCTTCACCCAAGCCCTACGTTACTCTGTGCTGCTAGTGCGCTGGAGTGTTGGCGCCATCTAGTGAATAAAATATGCAAGTAGATGGTTATATTTACAGTCAGTGAAACAACCAATCATGTGCTTGGAAACTTGAGTATATATTTGGCGTAATTACCTCTTATCTTCCTTTTTGACGCCGCGTGGTACAGATTTGACGTTGGTTCGTGGTAAGTTTTAAATTACGTTTCACGCTTTTTAACTCTTGTCAAATGTCACTTAAATAGACGAAGTAATCAGTGAATATGTGTAGAATGTGTCACATTAGTCTTTCTAGATGTTTGAATTGGAAGGTTATATATATATGACTTGAAAGCTAACGCTAACGTGTCGAGTAGACACGCGCCTGACATGCTGTTTAGGGCACGGTGTCCTGCCAAGTACACTAGCCAGGCCATTTAATTATAGGCAATGGTCCCCTCGCGCTTAAGCGCATCGCGTAGATGGCCCTATCAACTACAATGTCTGGGCCTGGAATAATTGTTGAATAAATGTTATTGTTTACTTATCTTTTGACTGCTGGTCCCTTGTTCTATTTCTTCCAGCACTCATAACACAGGGAAAGTGGTCAAGATGTCTGGAAATCTAGATGTCCTTCAAATGAAGGAGGAGGATGTGCTGAAGTTCCTGGCTGCAGGAACCCATCTGGGAGGAACCAACATGGACTTCCAAATGGAGCACTACATCTACAAGAGGAAGAGTGATGGTGAGTGGTTGGCAGTCCTGAACACCCAAACACTCTGGAACAAAACTACTTGTGGTATATGCCAGTGGTCAACCCACCCTGGTTGTGGAGGGATACTGTCTATTCAGGCTGCTGTTCTGGCACAAGCATGCCTGATTCAGCTATTAAAAGTCTTGATGAATAGTTTAAATGGATTTCTGCTTCAATGCTGGGCTGGAACAAATGGTTCTGTCCCTTTCAGCTCACAGAACTAGAGTGGTGATCACTGATTCTTTCCCTCACTAGATGGAGCACATTTGGGCAGGGTAAACTGGGCACAGATCTGGGTGTACTGACTGCCCCCTGTCCTCAGGTGTGTACATTATCAACCTGAGGAAGACCTGGGAGAAACTACTGCTGGCAGCCCGTGCCATTGTTGCCATTGAGAACCCAGCTGACGTCTGTGTCATCTCCTCCAGGAACACTGGACAGGTACAGCTCCAACTGGCAGCGTAGTGGACACGGTGAATAATTAATCTAACCTAATACTTGCCATGTGTGTTTACCCATCAATTTGACATCTGTTTCTGTATAGATATGGCTGCATGCATGCACACAATTAAAGCCTGGCACTGATGCTGGTGTGCAGGTGTTGGAAGTTTGCTAGAGAGATTGGGATGGCTTTTCGTTAAAATCAGTAGGGCTACCGCCCAATGACTGGAGTTTGATAGTGACCTGAGCCACACATTCTGCATGCTGTCTAGTGCCACTTGCCTTTAGATTCCAAGGGCAGTGATGGGTGTTACACATGCTGTCGGCATCTTGGTCTCCAATAACCTTTCATATACATTTTGTAGAGAGCTGTGCTGAAGTTTGCCTCAGCCACTGGCGCCACCACCTTCCACGGTCGTTTCACCCCCGGAACCTTCACCAATCAGATCCAGGCTGCCTTCAGGGAGCCCCGCCTCCTAATCGTGACAGACCCCCGTGCCGACCATCAGCCCCTGACTGAAGCATCTTATGTCAACATCCCCACCATCGCCCTGTGCAACACTGACTCCCCACTCAGATATGTCGACATCGCCATCCCCTGCAACAACAAGGTTAGACTCTTACACCTAACACCTACGTGAGTTTCTTGGTTGGTGTTTGTTTTGCACACCGTTAGAGCCCGGCGCAGTCCTGTCAGTGCGGTGCTGGGTGTAGGATGTGTGCTACATAAAACGCAGGGCCTTTTTTTCTCCCCTTACTCCATCCGTGGGTAAGAGGGAGGGGGAATTAGGTATAGGCCTTGCTACATATTTCTGTAAAGGACTGGTGTTCATGTCTCATTGGTGTAGTTGTTCATGGTCTGATCTGTGCTCCAGGGTCACCACTCTGTGGGTCTGATGTGGTGGATGCTGTCCAGGGAGGTGCTGAGGATGAGGGGCACCATCTCCAGGGAGCACCCCTGGGAGGTCATGCCTGATCTCTACTTCTACAGGGACCCAGAGGAGGTAAGAAGCAGGCCTTTTAGACACATACTTAAACCAATATACTCCAAATTTACTGGTAGGGCAAGCTTGCCTTATTTCTCAACAGTAATGGATCTTGTATGTTCTGTTTGCCTTGTTAGCCTGACACTCATTGTTTTCCCTGGTAGATTGAGAAGGAGGAACAGGCTGCAGCTGAGAAGGCTGTTGGAAAGGAGGAGTTCCAGGGAGAGTGGACCGCTCCAGCAGCTGAGTTCACCCAGCCTGAGGTGGCTGACTGGTCTGAGGGAGTGGCTGTGCCCTCTGTCCCCATCCAGCAGTTCTCTGCAGGTAAGGAAAGTGAAGATATGGTTTCTGGTTCCACTATTTATAATTTATTTTACCTTTTATTTAACTAGGCAAGTCAGTTAAGAACAAATTCTTATTTACAATGATGGCCTACACCACTATGCTGAGACTTGGTTTTAGGTTCTTGACTGATGCACTTGGCAGCATTTTCAAAATATAATTTTGTGTTGGATTTCAGGACCTAGCAGATGTTTGTCTGAAAGTTCTCATGTTTTGGTGTAATCCTAATTTACTTTTAGCTGCTGCGTCTGCCAAGCCATCTGCTGCAGCCGTTGAGGGGTTAACTGGTGAGTGACGTGAGCTTAACATCAGCTTCTCTGTAATTGATGTGACATAATTGTCATCAGTTGGGTTGATTGTTTAATCTACTCAAATATACCGAAATGAGTGATTGTTGGTCATGTATTTGCACCTCTAACGTTTTCTCTCTTGCAGAGGACTGGAGTGCCCAGCCAGCCACTGAGGATTGGTCAGCTGCCCCCACTGCCCAGGCCTCTGAATGGGGTGGGGAGACTGCTGCTTGGTCCTAAGCAATGGTGGCCTAATGTTTGGCAGTACAATAAATTGCTTTTTTGTTGTTGTACAAACTGACCCCTGACTGAATTTATGAACACAAGTATAGGCAAGTGACCTTAACGGCAATACTACATTATATATAGTATATTAACACAACTGATTGTTATGCTTACATTTCACATTGAAAGAATTCTTTAACATTTAATTAGACTGCCATATGTTGAACTCTCTTATTGCTGTCAAAAGGGGAACGTCTCTATAATTGCACTGTTGTGTGATTCTGCAACTTAGGGCACTTTGGCCCTGCAAGCTTTTTGAAATTAAAACACAATTTTACCAGTATTATTCTTTGATTTGTCTAGAAATAATGGCTGATTGTACTATTCAGGAATTAAATGGCTGTGATTGTACTATTCATTTATATATTTGTATTTTCTCAGACTGCCATAGATAAGTTATTTCCATTGTCATTAAAGATCCATTTTAGTTAAATTAAATATACAATTTATAACACATTTGTACATGAACTTGTATTGAATATTTTAAGTGATTTAAGGTTTTCCTAATACTAATAATTCAACCAGATGCATGAATGTATAAACCATTTCCACCCAACCTTTTTGTGAGATAACAACCAAATTATTTCTGTATCTAAAACAAATCAATGTTCATTACACATAATATACTCATTTACATCAAATATGGGTGTGGTGGAAATTACATGATGTAATAAAATAAAGGTATGAGAATATTTTATTCTAAACATTTTGAACAACCATTAAACATTTATAAGACAAATTAAAATTCAATAAGTAGCCGATGGGCAGAGCTCAAGGAAGTAGGCCAGTGTTTTTGAGAGATGGGCCCAGATTGCAGAGGGGTCATCTGCATAGAAGAGCTCAGTGAGCAAAGTGAAACTATCATTTGTGGTATATCCAACACAGGTGTGGAGGGTCACCTGCTTGTGACAATCACCAAAGTGAACTGCCTGGATTTCACTGATGTATTTACACAGGTAGTTCTCTGCAAAGTCAATATACACGATGATCTCCTCTTCGCAGATTATCTTTTAATTCTCTCAGTTTGGAGTTTTGGTGTCGAATGTTGTACATGTGTTTCCCCAACTTCTCTTTCAATCCTTTGGAGAAGTCCTCCAGTAGAATCTGCAGTGTGCCACACACCTTTTGTTTTACTATCAAATGTACAGGGAACTTCTCCATGTTTCCCTCTTTGTTTTTCTTCTCTCTTCAGCTTTGTTTTTCCACTCAAACCACCATGTCTGCTCACCAGCATCAAAGTCAGATGTTTTAAGCTATTTTGCTTGGCAAAGGGAGCGCTCTGTGTACATGCACTTTTTCTTCAGGTTCTCACAGCACAAAGACTCAAGGTTCTCAATGTTGCTGCAACTGATCACTTTGTGGTCCGCCACGAACTGGAGGTTGGCCTGGGTTTTGCAGAGGCATGTGTCCCTATCCTGGACTGTTGGTTTGACAACCTTAAAAGGACGTACAGTGCATTCGGAAAACATTCAGACCCCTTGATTCTTTCCACATTTTGTTATGTTACAGCCTTATTCTAAATGGATTAAATAAATAAAAATCCTCATCAATATTCACACAATACCCCATAATGACAAAGTGAAAATATGTTTTTAGAAATCTTTGTAACTGTATTAAAAATGAAAAACAGATAAAAGGACGTACAGTGCATTCGGAAAACATTCAGACCCCTTGATTCTTTCCACATTTTGTTATGTTACAGCCTTATTCTAAATGGATTAAATAAATAAAAATCCTCATCAATATTCACACAATACCCCATAATGACAAAGTGAAAACATGTTTTTAGAAATCTTTGTAAATGTATTAAAAATGAAAAACAGAAATACCTTATTTACATAAGTATTCAGACCCTTTGCTATGAGACTCAAAATTTTGCTCAGGTGCATCCTGTTTCCATTGCTCATCCTTGAGATGTTTCTACAACTTGATTGCAGTCCACCTGTGGTAAATTCAATGGATTGGACATGATTTGGAAAGGCACACACCTGTCTATAAAAGGTCTCACAGTTGACAGTGCATGTCAGAGCAAAAACCAAGCCACGAGGTCGAAGGAATTGTCCGTAGAGCTCAGAGACAGGATTGTGTCGAGGCACAGATCTGGGGAAGGCTACCAAAACATTTATGCAGCATTGCAGGTACCCAAGAACACAGTGGCCTCCATCATTCTTAAATGGAAGATGTTTGGAACCACCAAGACTCTTCATAGCACTGGCCGCCCAGCCAAACTGAGCAATCGGGGGAGAAGGGCCTTGTCAGGGAGGTGACCAAGAACCCGATGGTCACTCTGACAGAGCTCCAGAGTTCCTCTGTGGAGATGGGAGAACCTTCCAGATGGACAACCATCTCTGCAGCACTCCACCAATCAGGCCTTTATGGTAGAGTGGCCAGACGGAAGCCACTTCTCAGTAAAAGGCACATGACAGCCCGCTTGGAGTTTGCCAAAAGGCACCTAAAGACTCTCAGACCATAAGAAACAAGATTCTCTGGTCTGATGAAACCAATAATAAACTTTTTGGCCTGAATGCCAAGCGTCACGTCTGGAGGAAACCTGGCACCATCCCTACGGTGAAGCATGGTTGTGGCAGCATCATGCTGTGGGGATGTTTTTCAGCGACAGGGACTGGGAGACTAGTCAGGATCGAGGGAAAGATGAACAGAGCAAAGTACAGAGAGATCCTTGATGAAAACCTGCTCCAGAGTGCTCAGGACCTCAGACTGGTGCGACGGTTCACCTTCCAACAGGACAACGACCCTAAGCACACAGCCAAGACAACGCAGGAGTGGCTTCGGGACAAGTCTCTGAGTGGCCCAGCAAGAGCCCGGACTTGAACTGAAAATAGTTGTGCAGCGACACTCCCCATCCAACCTGACAGAGCTTGAGAGGATCTGCAGAGAAGAATGGGAGAAACTCCCCAAATACAGGTGTGCCACGCTTGTAGCATCATACCCAAGAAGACGGGTGGCAGGTAGCTTAGTGGTTAAGAGCGTTGTGCCAGTAACCGAAAGGCCACTGGTTCTAATCCCCGAGCCGACTAGGTGAAAAATCTTTCGATGTGCCCTTGAGCAAGGCACTTAACCCTAATTGCTCCTGTAAGTTGCTCTGGATAAGAGCGTCTGCTAAATGACAAAAAAATAAATAAATACACTTGAGGCTGTAATCACTGCCAAAGGTGCTTCAACAAAGTACTGAGTGAAGGGTCTCAATACTTATGTAAATGTGATATTTCAGTAGTTTTTTTTTTATAAATGTGCAAATATGTCTAAAAACCTGTTTTTGCTTTGTCATTATGGGGTATTGTGTGTAGATTGAGGGGGGAAAACAATTTAATCCATTTTAGAATAAGGCTGTAACGTAACAAAAGGTGGAAAAAGTCAAGGGGTCCGAATACTTTCCGAATGCACCGTATTTTGCAGAATTCATAGTAGGACATTTTAACCTCTGAATATTCCCTCTTAAAATTCTGATAAAGGTTCTGAATTGTGCCATTCAAGAAGTGCTTCTGCTTGTTTTTCTTGTTCCTCATTAGTGTGTCCTTTTCCCCTGTTATTGCTCTACTGTTGTCATCACGTTCATAGAATCTAGTGATTTTCTCTTCTGTGCTAATTCTGTTACACTGCTTTTTCCTGGAGTATTGACTTGTTGGCCTGTTTTCATTTGCCCTCATTGCTTTTGCTGAAAATCCAAATTCTCTGTTTGCAGCTTTGACCAGGCCATACTTTCTCAGGATGTTGCCGCTGAGCATTTTGAAGCCACTTGTTTGTCCTTGGTACTGCACATGTTTTGATACTTTTGCTTTAACTCTGCAATGATGGCATTTTGATACAATAAAATCCTTCTCAAGTTCTTCAGAGTTTCCTTCATTTGCGGTTTTGTCTTTGGGGAATCTTGTCTCTCCATTTTCTTCATCAGATGATCATACCTTTTTTTTTGTATTTCTCAGCTTTCCGTAAAGCTTTATCAAGTTTGACATTTGTCATGCAAAGATCTCTGTACGTTTTTGAATGACCTCTTCCAACCTTTTCCCTTCCAGCAAGTATTCGACTTCTCATTCCTGTTGCAGACGATGAGGAAGGGGTATCAGGGCGTGCATCAGGGGCAGGTAAGTTAGGGGCAGGTATGTTGCCCTCTGGCTGCAAGTCATCTGGTGACTAAGGTGGTGTGTTGCCTGATAGGTAGGTCTCCATTGCAACTGTTCTCTTTAAAATCTGTTTTCTATTCCGTTGGTTGCATTTCCATTGCCTTCTCTTGCTGCTTTGTTCTCACTTTGTAAGCTCAGATTTCACTTCTCCCTTCTCTTTTTTTCTTCCAGTATCTCTCCCTGTCTTTTTTGCAGATGTTCCTGGTATAGGATCATTATTTTATTTTGTTTCTGTGTCTGTGACCTTGGAGCATTTTCTAGATTAAATTAATTTAAAACATGATTAAATAAGCCTAAAGTAAAAAAAAAGTTTAAACTAATAACATAATGGATTTTTGTCATTTCCACCACAGTTAAGTTTGTGATGGAAATGACGCTTCTACAGTTTTTGGAGAAAAATTACAGACTGCTTAGCATGCTTTGGCTAGTATTACAGCTAGCATATAGTTTACACTACATTTTTTATCAACAAAATCAAAATTCTACCACAAATTAAAGAAATTATAGCCTGTTTGGAAATGACTGACAATAAAAATATTCTCTACACAAGCAATATTTTTCTTCAACTTCTGGATATCATATCTGGAACAACTGTCCGCCCTAAGTGGTGGAAATGACACCACTACCAAAGGACAGGTATATTTTGTGTAAATATAAAGGGCATACTCACAATAAATATTGATATACAGTGGGGAAAAAAAGTATTTAGTCAGCCACCAATTGTGCAAGTTCTCCCACTTAAAAAGATGAGAGAGGCCTGTAATTTTCATCATAGGTACACGTCAACTATGACAGACAAAATGAGAAAAATAAATCCAGAAAATCACATTGTAGGATTTTTAATGAATTTATTTGCAAATTATGGTGGAAAATAAGTATTTGGTCAATAACAAAAGTTTCTCAATACTTTGTTATATACCCTTTGTTGGCAATGACACAGGTCAAATGTTTTCTGTAAGTCTTCACAAGGTTTTCACACACCGTTGCTGGTTTTTGGCCCATTCCTCCATGCAGATCTCCTCTAGAGCAGTGATGTTTTGGGGCTGTCGCTGGGCAACACAGACTTTCAACTCCCTCCAAAGATTTTCTATGGGGTTGAGATCTGGAGACTGGCTAGGCCACTCCAGGACCTTGAAATGCTTCTTACGAAGCCACTCCTTCGTTGCCCGGGCGGTGTGTTTGGGATCATTGTCATGCTGAAAGACCCAGCCACGTTTCATCTTCAATGCCCTTGCTGATGGAAGGAGGTTTTCACTCAAAATCTCACGATACATGGCCCCATTCATTCTTTCCTTTACACGGATCAGTCGTCCTGGTCCCTTTGCAGAAAAACAGCCCCAAAGCATGATGTTTCCACCCCCATGCTTCACAGTAGGTATGGTGTTCTTTGGATGCAACTCAGCATTCTTTGTCCTCCAAACACGACGAGTTGAGTTTTTACCAAAAAGTTCTATTTTGGTTTCATCTGACCATATGACATTCTCCCAATCCTCTTCTGGATCATCCAAATGCACTCTAGCAAACTTCAGACGGGCCTGGACATGTACTGGCTTAAGCAGGGGGACACGTCTGGCACTGCAGGATTTGAGTCCCTGGCGGCGTAGTGTGTTCCTGATGGTAGGCTTTGTTACTTTGGTCCCAGCTCTCTGCAGGTCATTCACTAGGTCCCCCCGTGTGGTTCTGGGATTTTTGCTCACCGTTCTTGTGATCATTTTGACCCCACAGGGTGAGATCTTGCGTGGAGCCCCAGACCGAGGGAGATTATCAGTGGTCTTGTATGTCTTCCATTTCCTAATAATTGCTCCCACAGTTGATTTCTTCAAACCAAGCTGCTTACCTATTGTAGATTCAGTCTTCCCAGCCTGGTGCAGGTCTACAATTTTGTTTCTGGTGTCCTTTGACAGCTCTTTGGTCTTGGCCATAGTGGAGTTTGGAGTGTGACTGTTTGAGGTTGTGGACAGGTGTCTTTTATACTGATAACAAGTTCAAACAGGTGCCATTAATACAGGTAACGAGTGGAGGACAGAGGAGCCTCTTAAAGAAGAAGTTACAGGTCTGTGAGAGCCAGAAATCTTGCTTGTTTGTAGGTGACCAAAGACTTATTTTCCACCATAATTTGCAAATAAATTCATTAAAAAATCCTACAATGTGATTTTCTGGATTTTTTTCTTCTCAATTTGTCTGTCATAGTTGACGTGTACCTATGAAATTACAGACCTCTCTCATCTTTTTAAGTGGGAGAACTTGCACAATTGGTGGCTGACTAAATACTTTTTTTCCCCACTGTAGATTTGCTTTAATTTACTCTTTCTCTAGTAGTTTATTCATGTTTTCTCACAGAAAAACATAGTAGAAGCTCAAAAGGCTGGGTCAGGGACAAGGGCAAAATAGTGAAATTGAGGTATAAAATGCATCTGAAAAGTAGATAAAATACTTGATAGAGAGGTGTTTAAAAAAATCTGGGGTGATTGTAGTGTGAATTTAACATAAAGAGGGGTGGGGACGTTGCTTGGCGACCAGAGCTTCCATGCTTGTCAACAGCTATCTGTTACATTAGCTAGCTGGGTTAACATATATTTCTTGATTAGAAAAACATTTATCTTGTCTGATTATCTGAGCGCTGTTACTGTGCTTTCGTGAGGACTAACGCCACTGGCCATGGTAAGTTTATGTTTGCTGTACTGAATGCAGCTACGCTAACGTAACGTTCGCTAACATTAACGTACTGTTAGCTAGCTAGCTATTTAACCTTTGCCTAGTCTATGAAATGTAGCATTAACGTTAGGTTAGCTACCACACTAAATAGTCTGTAAACATTGCCGTGCTGGATTCATATACCTAGCACACCAGCCTGGTCTCTTAGACTAGAGGTAACAGTACATTTAAATCTGGGATACTGAAATGAGTATGTTACGTTTGGTATGGTTACTTAGGGTGGTCAGGGTTGATGCAAATTCGTACCATATTGTATGTTTAGCCAATTCTTAATAATTTAAATTGTACATTTAGCAAATGTGTAACATAATACGAATTCTAATTCGTAACATATCATAGAACATGGGTGATGGACAGCCACAAATTAATACATAACATACGACAAAACAACATATCATATGAAAAACAACATATCATACTAAATGGAGTGTCTCGGTTTTACAGAATAATACGAAATACTCTGAGACCAGGTTGCAGCCCAGCAAGTAACTAGTTGGATGGGCCCTTACTAATTATGTCTGGCTCTGTTGTGGACAGCACCAGCTGTAGAGTTCTACCCAAATCATCAAAATAATTATAATTTTCATGTTCATTCTCTCAGATTCTGTCCAGAGTAAAGCCAGCAGCTGTTGGTAGGGAGATCCCAGTAAATAAGAAGATCAAAGAAAAAAGTCACCCCTTGTGGAGGACTTCCTAATCCAAAGAGACTATCTGGGTGCCATTACATTGCTGGAGGTAAATGCCACTCTGGCTGCATTCCTCCTGAAGTGTGACATATAGGTTTATAGAGCTGTTATATACACTACCGTTGAAATGAAGGCATGGAATAGCTTTCATTTCTCCGAACAAGAATAGACTGACGAGTTTCAGAAGAAAGTTATTTGTTTCTGGCCATTTTGAGCCTGTAATTGAACCCACAATTGCTGATGCTCCAGATACTCAACTAGTCTCAAGAAGGCCAGTTTTATTGCTTCTTTAATCAGCACAACAGTTTTCAGCTGTGCTAACATAATTGCACAAGGGTTTTCTAATGATCAATTAGCCTTTTAAAATGATCAACTTGGATTAGCAAACCATTGGAACACAGGACTGATGGTTGCTGATAATGGGCCTCTGTACGCCTATGTAGATATTCCATAAAAAAATCAGCCGTTTCCAGCTACAATAGCCATTTACAACATTAACAATGTCTCCACTGTATTTCTGATCAATTTGATGTTATTTTAACATAATTTATTTTGTGCTTTTCTTTCGAAAACAAGGACATTTCTAAGTGTCCCCAAACTTTGGAATGGTAGTATATACAGTGGGGAGAACAAGTATTTGATACACTGCCGATTTTGCAGGTTTTCCTACTTACAAAGCATGTAGAGGTCTTTAATTTTTATCATAGGTACACTTCAACTGTGAGAGACGGAATCTAAAACAAAAATCCAGAAAATCACATTGTATGATTTTTAAGTAATTCATTTGCATTTTATTGCATGACATAAGTATTTGATCACCTACCAACCAGTAAGAATTCCGGCTCTCACAGACCTGTTAGTTTTTCTTTAAGAAGCCCTCCTGTTCTCAACTCGTTACCTGTATAAAAGACACCTGTCCACACACTCAATCAAACAGACTCCAACCTCTCCACAATGGCCAAGACCAGAGAGCTGTGTAAGGACATCAGGGATACAATTGTAGACCTGCACAAGGCTGGGATGGGCTACAGGACAATAGGCAAGCAGCTTGGTGAGAAGGCAACAACTGTTGGCGCAATTATTAGAAAATGGAAGAAGTTCAAGATGACGGTCAATCACCCTCGGTCTGGGGCTCCATGCAAGATCTCACCTCGTGGGGCATCATTGATCATGAGGAAGGTGAGGGATCAGCCCAGAACTACACGGCAGGACCAGGTCAATGACCTGAAGAGAGCTGGGACCACAGTCTCAAAGAAAACCATTAGTAACACACTACGCCGTCATGGATTAAAATCCTGCAGCGCACGCAAGGTCCCCCTGCTCAAGCCAGCGCATGTCCAGGCCCGTCTGAAGTTTGCCAATGACCATCTGGATGATCCAGAGGAGGAATGGGAGAAGGTCATGTGGTCTGATGAGACAAAAATATAGCTTTTTGGTTTAAACTCCACTCGCCGTGTTTGGAGGAAGAAGAAGGATGAGTACAACCCCAAGAACACCATCCCAACCGTAAGGCATGGAGGTGGAAACATCATTCTTTGGGGATGCTTTTCTGCAAAGGGGACAGGACGACTGCACCGTATTGAGGGGAGGATGGATGGGGCCATGTATCACGAGATCTTGGCCAACAACCTCCTTCCCTCAGTAAGAGCATTGAAGATGGGTCGTGGCTGGGTCTTCCAGCATAACAACGACCCGAAACACACAGCCAGGGCAACTAAGGAGTGGCTCCGTAAAAAGCATTTTAAGGTCCTGGAGTGGCCTAGCCAGTCTCCAGACCTGAACCCAATAGAAAATCTTAGGAGGGAGCTGAAAGTCCGTATTGCCCAGCGACAGCCCCGAAACCTGAAGGATCTGGAGAAGGTCTGTATGGAGGAGTGGGCCAAAATCCCTGCTGCAGTGTGTGCAAACCTGGTCAAGACCAACAGGAAACGTATGATCTCTGTAATTGCAAACAAAGGTTTCTGTACCAAATATTAAGTTCTGCTTTTCTGATGTATCAAATACTTATGCCATGCAATAAAATGCAAATTAATTACTTAAAAATCATACAATGTGATTTTCTGGATTTTTGTTTTAGATTCCGTCTCTCACAGTTGAAGTGTACCTATGATAAAAATTACAGAGCTCTACATGCTTTGTAAGTAGGAAAACCTGCAAAATCGGCAGTGTATCAAATACTTGTTCTCCCCACTGTGTGTGTGTGTATATATATATATATATATATATATATATATATATATATATATATATATATATATATATATATATATAGTGAGGGGAAAAAAGTATTTGATCCCCTGCTGATTTTCTACATTTGCCCACTGACAAAGAAATGATCAGTCTATAATTTTAATGGTAGGTTTATTTGAACAGTGAGAGACAGAATAACAACAACAAAATCCAGAAAACCGCATGTCAAAAATGTTATAAATTGATTTGCATTTTAATGAGGGAAATAAGTATTTGATCCCCTCTCAATCAGAAAGATTTCTGGCTCCCAGGTGTCTTTTATACAGGTAACGAGCTGAGATTAGGAGCACACTCTTACAGGGAGTGCTCCTAATGTCAGCTTGTTACCTGTATAAACGACACCTGTCCACAGAAGCAATCAATCAATCCGATTCCAAACTCTCCACCATGGCCAAGACCAAAGAGCTCTCCAAGGATGTCAGGGACAAGATTGTAGACCTACACAAGGCTGGAATAGGCTACAAGACCATCGCCAAGCAGCTTGGTGAGAAGGTGACAACCGTTGGTGCGATTATTTGCAAATGGAAGAAACACAAAATAACTGTGAATCTCCCTTGGCCTGGGGCTCCATGCAAGATCTCACCTCGTGGAGTTGCAATGATCATGAGAACGGTGAGGAATCAGCCCAGAACTACACGGTAGGATCTTGTCAATGATCTCAAGGCAGCTGGGACCATAGTCACCAAGAAAACAATTGGTAACACACAACGCCGTGAAGGACTGAAATCCTGCAGCGCCCGCAAGGTCCCCCTGCTCAAGAAAGCACATATACATGCCCGTATGAAGTTTGCCAATGAACATCTGAATGATTCAGAGGAGAACTGGGTGAAAGTGTTGTGGTCAGATGAGACCAAAATGGAGCTCTTTGGCATCAACTCAACTCGGAGGAGGAGGAATGCTGCATATGACCCCAAGAACACCATCCCCCACCGTCAAACATGGAGGTGGAAACATTATGCTTTGGGGGTGTTTTTCTGCTAAGGGGACAGGACAACTTCACCGCATCAAAGGGACGATGGACGGGGCCATGTACCGTCAAATCTTGGGTGAGAACCTCCTTCCCTCAGCCAGGGCATTGAAAATGGGTTGTGGATGGGAATTCCAGCATGACAATGACCCAAAACACACGGCCAAGGCAACAAAGGAGTGGCTCAAGAAGAAGCACATTAAGGTCCTGGAGTGGCCTAGCCAGTCTCCAGACCTTAATCCCATAGAAAATCTGTGGAGGGAGCTGAAGGTTCGAGTTGCCAAATGTCAGCCTCGAAACCTTAATGACTTGGAGAAGATCTGCAAAGAGGAGTGGGACAAAATCCCTCCTGAGATGTGTGCAAACCTGGTGGCCAACTACAAGAAACGTCTGACCTCTGATTGCCAACAAGGGTTTTGCCACCAAGTACTAAGTCATGTTTTGCAGAGGGGTCAAATACTTATTTCCCTCATTAAAATGCAAATCAATTTATAACATTTTTGACATGCGTTTTTCTGGATTTTGTTGTTGTTATTCTGTCTCTCACTGTTTAAATAAACCTACCATTAAAATTATAGACTGATAATTTCTTTGTCAGTGGGCAAACGTACAAAATCAGCAGGGGATCAAATACGTTTTTCCCTCACTGTATATTTATTTGAACCATGCAGTGCTTACATTACTGTCTGCGGAAGATGATGCTCATCCTATCAATATGGTTGAATTTGCTCAGTTTCAGCGCAATGTTGGCGAGCGAGGGGAGGATGCAGACCTGTGGTTGGCCTACTGTGCTTTCCACCTTGGTGACTACAAGAGAGCCATGGAGGTTTGAAAACCTTTATTGAATTGAGTAACATTGGTTTGGGTGTGTGAAAGTATTTTCCTGTTTTCCTGTCCTATGTGTCAATTTCTTCCTCAGGAATACAAGGCCCTGACAGAGAAACCAGGCTGCCGCCCGGATGTGTGGGTCTACCTGGCCTGTGCTCTCTTCTTCCTGGGGCTTTACAAGGAAGCAGAGGAGGCTTCACTCAAGGGTACCACATCCACCTTACAAAAGGTGATATGGAAAAGTAAAGACCTTTTCTCCCTGACCTTACGTGCTTCCTCTGTCTCATTCAGCCCCTAAATGCCAGCTGCAGAATCGACTACTGTTCCACTTGGCTCACAAGGTCAGCTTTTGCCTTATCGCTAACTCATTCATACAGTGCTATGGTACCAAACAACTGATATAACAGAATTTGTTCTATTATACCCTTATTTCTGGTCTATTATTTTTTTAATTATTCAGTTCAATGATGAAAAGCAGCTGATGGGTTTCCACCAGGAGTTGGAGGATGTGACAGAGGACCAGCTCAGCCTGGCCTCCATCCACTACATGCGCTCTCACTACCAGGAGGCCATCGACATCTACAAACGCATCCTGCTGCAGAACAGGTGACAGGCAACAGAATGCACCACAGAGACACCAGGCAACACTCCAAGTGGAGAGGGGGAGTTAGAGAGTGAGTGGAGGGAGGGAGAGTGATAGTTTCCCTGTGTTGAGACAGAGAGAAGATAACAGAGACTGGAGAGGAGGATAGTGACTGCTCATGCAGGTGAGAGGGCGGGAAAGAGAGATGTATTAAGGATTAGAAAGGACAATCGACATGCACGTAGTGTCAGTCCATACATATTATCACGAATGAGTGGGTTCATTGTGCCTACTGTGAGTCGAGGGAGCTCATGCTATGTTCATCCTGTGTCTGCTGCAGAGACTTCCTGGCCCTGAATGTGTATGTGGCTCTATGCTACTACAAGCTGGACTACTACGATGTGTCCCAGGAGGTGCTGGCTGTTTACCTGCAGAGCGTCCCAGACTCCACCATCGCTCTCAACCTCGAGGCCTGCAACCACTTCAGGCTCTAAAACGGAAAAGCAGCAGAGGTAACGCAACTCGACACAAGAGTCCTGAGCAAATCATTCTCAAAATTAAACCTTGTTTGGCTATGAATGTTGCTTTGTTCATGTTTGTAAGGCTTCAATCAGTGACTCAGTGACGTATAACATTGTAGTATTAAACAACTAAAATCACATTTTTCTTCTCTCAGACTGAGCTGAAGAACCTGATATATATCTCCTCCAGCTCCTTTGAGTTTGCCAAGGAGTTAATCCGACACAACCTGGTGAGAGTCATGACTTATCAGCTTAGGGAACATAGGGAGGCTGAGCAGTTTGCACCTCACGTGTAACAGCATGCAAGCAAATTATTCTTTCTCTGGTGTTCAGGTGGTGTTTCGTGGCGGGGAGGGAGCCTTGCAAGTGCTGCCTCCACTGATTGATGTCATTACTGAGGCTCGTCTCAATCTGGTCATCTACTACCTCAGACAAGGTAGGCCTCCACTTTTATCACTGACTAATGCAATGCCAATCTAATGATAACTAATTGATAACTAAGTGTGTTGTTTTACTGTTAATATATGGACAGTAGTTGTATTTTTCTATCTCTCTCAGATGATGTCCAGGAGTCCTACCAGCTCATCAAAGACTTAGAACCCACCACACCACAGGTTAGTTCCTCTATTTCCATTCACCATTTTCAGATTTCTCTCCCTCTTTTTCATTTTTCAACCCGCCTATCATTCGTCTCATGCCCCTCAGCTCTTTTAGGGAACAGTAATCTTATCCTCTCTTCCCTGCTCTCCCTTTTCCTCTTCCTCCTTCTACCAGGATAGTGTAGTTCTACGTTTGCAGCGTAGTAATTTGTGGTAGGCGTTTGTGTATTAACCTCCCCCTTTCTGTCTCTCTCTCTCTCTCAGGTTCAGGGCAGTATTAGTCTTAATGTACATCAGCGTACAGTAAGTGTGTGTGTGCGGCCAGCTCTCTCTTTCCCTATCCTCCTCTTCTCTTTGCCAGGGTTAGTGCAGTCTTAGCCATAAAGTGGTGTATGGTAAGTGCATATGTGCTCTAACCTCTCCCTGCCTCTTTTTCAGGAGTACATCTTGAAGGGGGTTGTGAATGCTGCACTGGGACAGGAGATGGGGTCGGTGAGTACCAGAGATACATTTAGATACTACACTGAACAAAAATAAGTGTTGGTCCCATGTTTCATGAGCTGAAATAAAAGATCCCAGAAATGTTCCATACGCACAAAAAGCTTATTTCTATCAAATTTAGTGAGCATTTCTCCTTTGCCAAGATAATCCATCTACCTGACAGGTGTGGCATATCAAGAAGCTGATTAATTTAAACAGCATGCTCATTACACAGGTGCATCTTGTGCTGGGAAAAATAAAAGGCCACTCTAAAATGTGCAGTTTTGTCACACAACACAATGCCACAGATGTCTCAAGTTTTGAGGGAGCGTGCAATTGGCATGCTGACTGCAGGAATGTCCACAAGAACTGTTGCCAGATAATATAATTTTCATTTCTCTATCATCGTCGTTTTAGAGAATTTGGCAGTACGTCCAACTGGCCTCACAACCGCAGACCACATGTATGGCGTCATGTGGGCGAGAGGTTTGCTGATGTCAATGTTGGGAACAGAGTGCCCCATTGTGGGGTTATGGTAAGGGCAGGCATAAGCTACGGACAATGAACACAATTGCATTTTATCTAAGGTAATTTGAATGCACAGAGATACCGTGACGAGATCCTGAGGCCCATTGTCGTGTCATTCATCTGTAGCCATCACCTCATGTTTCAGCATGATAATGCACAGCCCCATGTCGCAAGGATATGTACATAATTCCTGGAAGCTGAAAATGTCCCAGTTCTTCCATGGCCTGCATACTCACCAGACATGTCACCCATTGAGCATGTTTTGGATGCTCTGGATCGATGTGTACGACAGCATGTTCCAGTTCCCACCAATATCCAGCAACTTTGCACAGCCATTGAAGATGAGTGGGACATCATTCCACAGGCCACAATCAACAGCCTGATCAACTCTATGCGAATGAGATGTGTCGTGCTGCATGAGGCAAATAGTGGTCACACCAGATACTGACTGGTTTTCTGATCCACGCCCATACCTTTTTTTTAAGGTACCTGTGATCAACAGATGCATATCTGTATTGCCAGTCATGTGAAATCCATAGATTAGGACCTAATGCATTTTATTTAAATTGACAGATTTCCTTATATGAACTGTAACTCAGTAAAATCTTTGAAATTGTTGTGTTTATATTTTGGTTCAGTGTATATATATATAACTATAGATTAATGTACAGTATATCTATAGTTCTGCCTTGATACCCGCCTGATTTTGTTTGTGTGACATTATCATGTTATTTTTCCATTACAGAGAGATCATCTGAAGATTGCTCAGCAGTTTTTCCAGCTGGTTGGTGGCTCAGCTAGCGAATGTGGTGAGTGCTCCTCAGATATTTAATATACTGACTTGAATTTTATTTTTGTACTGCACTAATTCAGTGGTAAATACATTTTTATACTGGTGCTTTCTTTAACAATTCCTTTCCCTGTGTCTTAGACACCATCCCTGGCAGACAGTGCATGGCCTCTTGTTTCTTTCTGCTAAGGCAGTTTGAGGATGTGCTCATCTACCTCAACTCTGTCAAGGTAAGCACAGCATAATACCCTGACATACAGCGCTGCTTGAAAGTACCTGAACCCCTTCTGCAATTACACTTTTTTCAGTTTTTTTACCATGAAATCTTCATTTAATCAGAACCAGTCTTTTTGATCTGACATAACAGGTTTATATTTACCAATAACATATGTTGGTGTAGAGGAAATCATGCGTGTAGTAGAAAAACAAAATTAAAAAGGAATTTGTGCAGGTGCAAAAATAAGTGAACCCCAAGTTGCATTGGTTAAATCAAGTAGGTAAGTAGAATCAGGTGGGTAGATAATTAGCTACCAAATGAACCAATCAAAGGAGAGATCGTTAGGGCGGGACTCTGATAAATAGAGATAAGAAACCTGGTCAGTTTGGTGTTACCCATCCGGGTGAATGCAAAGCACACCATGCTGAGAGGAAAGGAGATCTCAGAGGACATCAGGACGAGGGTAGTGAGAGCACATCAGTCTGGGGAAGGCTATAAAATCATCTAAAAAAGATTTGCGCTCCATCAGGCCAAGGTGAGGTAAATCATTTACAAATGGAGAACATTTAACATGACAGCAACTTGGCCTAGAAGTGGACGCTCTTCCAAAATAACCCCAAGAGCCACAAGAACAATAAATCAGGTAAAAGCCAACCCAAACATAACCTCTAGAGATTTGCAGACCTCCCTTGCTGCATCTCAGGTAACTGCATGCTTCAACAATAAGAAGAAAACTGAATCGGAATGCCATTCATGGGAGGGTTGCTAGGAAGAAGCCTCTGCTGTCAAAAAAGAACCAAACTGCTCGTCTTAACTTTGCCAGAGACCACCTGGACAAACCTGAAGGTTTCTGGAAGTCCATTCTCTGGACCGATGAGTCCAAAATTGACCTTTTTGGTCATAATCAACACTGCTATGTTTGGCGAATACCTACCACCAAAATAACCTTATCCCAACAGTCAAGCATGGTGGTGGGAATGTCAAGATCTGGGGTTGCTTTTCCTCCTCTGGACCTGGACGACTCCACATCTTTAAGGGAACCATGAATTCTGCGGTATACCAGGAGATTCTTGAACAGAAAATCAGGTCGTCAGTCAAGGAGCTAAAGCTGGGCCGAAAATGGGTCTTCCAACAAGACAACGACCCAAAGCATTTAAGCAAATCTACCAAAGAATGGCTCAGGAGAAAGAAGATTTGTGTTTTGGATTGTCAAAGTCCTGACCTAAATCCAATCGAGATGCTGTGGCAGGACCTGAAGCGGGCAGTTCATGCCAGACACCCCTCAAACCTCACTCAATTGGCGGAGTTCTGTAATGAGGAGTGGGCAAAAATCCCTCAAAACAGATGTCAGACTGATTTCCAGGCTATAGGAGACATTTAGTCCAAGTTATCGCTGCTAATGGAGGTGCCACCAGCTATTGACTGAAGGGGTTCACATATTTTTGCACACATCAAATCTGAGTTTCTGTGAAATGAACCACTTTTGTTAAATAAACAATGAAAATCTTTTCTTTTTTTTTTTGCTTCGGTCATTTACTTGGCAGGTCTTTATTACGAATTGGGGTTTAGATAAGGATTTTAATATTGCAAAATAATGACCAGTCCTGTAGGGTTCACATACTTTCAAGCAGCACTGTATGTGTCCACATAGAATATTGATGTTCTATTATTATTCTTCAATGGATTCTAAATACTCAACTCTCATTGCGCAGAGTTACTTCTACAACGATGATGCCTTCAACTTCAACTATGCACAAGCCAAAGCTGCTGTTGGCAACTACAGGGAGGCAGAGGAGGTAAAACCTTGACATGTAATTTTGGGATTATTTGATATCACTTTGTTACCTTTTTCACTGATACGAATGTATGTGTTTTAGTGTCTGTTAAAAGTGTGTGCTTTCTCTTTGTCTCCCAGATCTTCCGTTGATTCAGAATGACAAGAACAAGAGTGACTATGTGTACCTGAGCTGGCTAGCACGCTGCTGTATGTTCTCCTTCTCATTAAAAGATGTGAACATTTGCTGGTATAACACTGTGGTTGTTCTATTGTTGTCAATGAACACTGTTATCCTATTTTAGACATCATGAACCAGAAGGCCCGCCTGGCCTGGGACCTCTACATGAAGATGGAGACCTCAGCAGAGTCCTTCAGCCTCCTGCAGCTCATTGCCAACGACTGTTACAAGGTTGCTCTCCTTCAATAATTCCAAAATCACTCAACTTCCTAAATGTTTCACTTCACCTTCAAGACAGAAGTTATTTCATTCTGAGAGCATTTGCACCATATGTAACTCTTCTCTCTCATCTACAGATGGGCCAGTTCTACTACTCAGCAAAAGCATTTGATGTCTTAGAGAGATTAGACCCCAACCCTGAGTACTGGGAGGGCAAAAGGGGAGCTTGTGTGGGAATCTTTCAGCTAATTCTGGCCAGCAGAGAACCCAGGTAGGTACCATGTCTACCATAGCAATCTATTGGATTGATATGGGATCATGAATGTCACCACTTTGAATAGCGTTTAAATAATCTGTCCTTCGCTCAGTGACCTACACATTTTTGTGACATGATGGGCTGTATTTTGCATTGCTGAGGTCTAACAATGTGAGTGTTTGTTACTATAATGTGCGCAATTGTATGTATTTTACAGGGAGGCTTTGAGGGAAGTGCTGCCCTTGCTGAGAAACACTGGGAACCCTCAGGTGGAATACATCATCAGGATTCTGAAGAAATGGGCCAAGGACAACAGGGTTTCTCTGTGATGTTATCATTCCTTACTTAAGAATGCATAGCATATATGAAGAACAGGGTCCTTTGGGCAAACTGACAGTCAAGTGCAATAATTCACCATAAGTGCCAGTTTGTTCAGTATGCATTTATCTCTTTCCTGTTTGTTGTTTTGTAAGTACATTTGTATGGTGTTTTTTTTTTTTGCACATTTATTCTGTACATATTTGCCTATGTGAATAAATATTTTAATCTTATACTGCATCTGTGCTTTCACTATTGCTGACCTTGACATAACGTTTTAGAGCACATAAAGACCAGTGCTTATCATGCATACAGCAATATAAAACATTCGAATTTGTTGGTTACAATGCATATTTTCTAATGAAAGGTAGTCGTGCGTTGTTCCAGTGCCTTCAGTCCAGGGAAAAGTGTTCCAAGCAACCTCGTCAAAACATCCCGCGTGCCAGAGCCAGGGAACAATCGATTCTCCATATTCGCGCTAGTATGCGAAGTGGGCGGTTCTTGAGGGGCGTTCTCACTCTATAATTGGTCAAAGACTGCTCCCTGACTGTTCTGCTTCCGCTTTCTTTTCATACGCACGCCCAGTTACTACTCTCACTGAATAATGATAATAATGGTCAAGATGGCTACTTCAGATGCCTCTTTGCGGTAGCTACCTAACAATTTCATTGAAACAATTATAACTACTCTTCCTCGTGATTTAAAGGCCCTGGAGCTAACCTGGGAGGTACAGAAGATACCACTGTGTGGTTTAAGTCATTTTATTAGTTGACATAGCTTACCAGCTAGCTAACGTTAGTTGTCGAACATTCCCAATTTTAAATAGCAAGCTACAGTAACGTTAGTTCAGTGAAGTCTCGCCCTCCCTTGTGTGTTCGTAGCGAGGGGCTCTGTGACGGTCAGCATCAAATGGCCGAGCCGAGAAAAGTACCGTTTGTCACAATCTCTTCCTTTAACAACAATGCACCGCCTTCGGAGTCCAAGAAACGCCGCCGGGAAGATGAGGCCGAAATCAGTTTGGGGGAAGATGGAGGGGGTGGAAGTGCAGCAACCGGGCCAGGAGGTGGTACGGGTGCTAGTCCATTCGGTAACGTGAAAGCCGGTGACGGGGATTCAGCGGAAACAAAACGTGTAACAGTGCGCTTGAACCTCTCCTTGCCCGAACCCAGCGAACGGGGATCTGCTGAATTCAACTACAGTGAACTGGTTCAATCTACTCAGGTAAAGTCGTGAAATCAGTCAAGGCTACAAGTGTTAACACAGGCCGGGCCGGTGAACGCGTAGGCAGTTTGAAGTAAGCTCTCGAGGCTTTGGTGCTGTTGTCAACAAGAGCGATGTTGGCCAACTGTAGCTACAGTATTCTTAGATATGATGTAAGCATGCCAACTTCATGTAGGCTATAACATTCTAATTTTGATATGCATGTTTATATTACCGTTATATAAATCATATAATATGGTAATGACACATCAAGTTCCCATCTTGCTGGATGTACAACTTCTGTAAGATTAAATAATAAGCTACTAAAAACCCACATTTGAACCCATTTTACCAACTCTAATTTTCTGACATTCGTGATTGTCTCTTGAAGGTGAAGAAGCCTCCTGCTCCAGGACCTCCTAAAGGCCTGACGCCAGACCTGGACCCCAACTACCCCTTTGCAGACAACGAGAAGGAGAGAAGAGAAGTAGAGGCGCTCGCCAAGAAATTTGAGAGCAAATATGTAGGTCCCTTTACTTTGTGGTGGAAACAAATAGGCCTACACATAGATTTAATTAGTTACATTTGCATTATATATATATATATAGTATATTCTCACCTAATCAATTGTAATCGTTTGTTTCCTCTAGTCACAGGGCAATACAGGGAAAAAGAAGAGGAAGGACAGGGTGCAGGATCTCATCGACATTGGTTTTGGCTACGATGAGACTGACCCATTCATTGATAACTCTGAGGCTGTAAGTACCCTCTTCAGACTCATGTAAACAAGTGTCAACATATGCTTGAACATATTTGCACTTTACCCTTAGCCACTGTATCATAGATACTTTTTCATTAACACATTGCATTCCTCTCCCCCATACTTGCATATTAGTTTCTCTGCTGTTTGTAACCCGTTATACCATGGCATTGTTGAATAGTCTTTTCTGATTGGCCTGAAGGGCATTCTAGAGCGTGCATTATTTCCCTATAACGCACAGTATATCAGCACGGTAGAATTCAATGGCTATAGTTCATTCTTACATGTTCTATGTTTGAGCTGCATTTGAAAGCAAAAGTCGAATTGAGAACATTATTGCCATTGTTGAATTCAATTTTCATAATGGCAAGCTAGGACTGATTGTTTGGTTAGCTAAACTAGCAAGTCTGTTTGTTTGGTTACCAAGGCAACTACTGTAGCTACTATATCTAGTAAACTTGCTAGCTACTTCAGTGGATGTTGAACACATTTCTAACTGTAACGTTGTAAAATTATAGCCATGGTATAAAAGGGATAATGAACTTGGAAAATAATGCAACTCCATGGAAGGTTAGTTCCACTCCGCTAGCGTGTCGTCGAACACACCTTCCATGTAGTTTATTATTTCCAGAGAATGCATAGTCCCTTGTTGATTATCCCTTACCTACTCTCACCCCCTCAGTATGATGAGCTGGTGCCAGCCTCCCTCAACACCAAGCTGGGAGGGTTCTACATCAACACTGGCACCCTGCAGTTCAGAGCAGCCTCCGAGTCAGAGGGAGAGGACTTCAAGGTGGGTTACACACACACATGCCTTTTCAATATATGAACAAATATTATTCAGCGTTAAACTCTATTTCTATATCATGTGACAAGCTCAGTTTTTGTTCCTCTTGTCTGTAGAAGTTGAAAGATGGCGAGGAGCATGTGATAAAGAAGCGAAGGAAAAAGCAAGATGGCAGTAACATGGATGAGAAGAAGCCCAGGAAGATCAGGATGCCAAAGCAAGGGTGAGCAATGTTATACGTCTGTTGTGCCACTTCTGAAGTTATCTGATGTATAAGCTCATATTTGATGTATGAACTTATTGCCCAACTTTGACTTGAGCCGTGTGCTTCATATTCATTCTATATGTCTATGGCTTGTAACAACCTCCATGTATCAACGCAACGGTCTTATGTTATCTTCCAGAGTGTCTGGCCTGAATGTCCACCGGCCAGAGAAGAAGAAGAGGAAGAAGTTGATGAAGGACTCTCTGAATCTGGCCGCCATGCTCCGCCGCTTCACACGGGAGAAGGAGGAGAACCGCAAAAAGAACCCCTGTCTGTCCCCGTGGCCAGCACAACGCCAACAGTGCCCTACTCAACACCCACCCTAAAACCCAATGACATCAGCATGGCCGACCTGGCCAACGACCCTGCCATGATGTCACTGCTGGGCTCGGCCAATAACAACGACATGCTGCAGGACATGATGGGCGACCTGGACTTTGGGCTGCTGGACTCTCCTCAGCCCTCCAGCCCTGCACAGGGGGAGAATGGTGTTCCGGGTAGGGTCCAGGGTAGGGTCCAGGGGGCACAAGGAGGTCTCCTGCCCCCTCCTCCTCTGCCCAATGGACTGCCTGCTCCTCTCAGTAAGCGCATTGAGGACCTCCGAGTGGTAAGTGACTGACATCTTCAATCATATCCAGCTGCAGATATATTTCATATTTAGAGATATTTTAGGTCTTCAGTCAGTTTCTTTGTTTGATTTGTAGGGTCTGAAGGCCCTCACTGCTCGTTGAAAACGTTCAAGCACATTACATGGAATGCATTGATTTTTTTCCCCCTTAAAAATGGAAAGTGATGATTGTCACCGTTCTGATATTTCCTTCCATAAAGAGACAAGAGTAACACAGGCATTCTCTCAGGGGCACAAGTAGGAGTGAGAAGTAGAGGTTGCTGTGGCAACAAGAGAGCAGTGATGTTCTTTGAGGGAGGTGATGAGGGGAAAACAAGTTCCCACTCTTTCTCTGACAGAACGGTGAGGGTGAAGGGAAAGGGCAAGAGAGGAATATCAGGAAGAGGAGAGAAAGGTAGAGAGAGGAGGAGTGGAGGCAGGGAGGAGAGGAGGCCAAGAGCGAGAGGTACTGGAACGAAGGGAGTCAAAGAGAGGCTTAGACAATAAGGTGAGGCTTGGAGGGGTGAAAGGGCAGGTGATTTATTTACAGTGAGGGAAAAAAGTATCTGATCCCCTGCTGATTTTGTACGTTTGCCCACTGACAAAGACATGATCAGTCTATAATTTTAATGGTAGGTTTATTTGAACAGTGAGAGACAGAATAACAACAACAACATCCAGAAAAACGAATGTCAAAAATGTTATAAATTGATTTGCATTTTAATGAGAGAAATAAGTATTTGACCCCTCTGCAAAACATGACTTAGTACTTGGTGGCAAAACCCTTGTTGGCAATCACAGAGGTCAGATGTTTCTTGTAGTTGGTCATCCGGTTTGCACACATCTCAGGAGGGATTTTGTCCCACTCCTCTTTGCAGATCTTCTCCAAGTCATTAAGGTTTCGAGGCTGATGTTTGGCAACTCGAACCTTCAGCTCCCTCCACAATGTGCTTCTTCTTGAGCCACTCCTTTGTTGCCTTGGCTGTGTGTTTTGGGTCATTGTCATGCTGGAATACCCATCCACGACCCATTTTCATCCTCGTCCCTTTGATGCGGTGAAGTTGTCCTGTCCCCTTAGCAGAAAAACACCCCCTTAGCATAATGTTTCCACCTCCATGTTTGACGTTGGGGATGGTGTTCTTGGGGTCATAGGCAGCATTCCTCCTCCTCCAAACACGGCGAGTTGAGTTGATGCCAAAGAGCTCGATTTTGGTCTCATCTGACCACAACACTCAGATGTTCATTGGCAAACTTCTTGAGCAGGGGGACCTTGCGGGCACTGCATGATTTCAGTCCTTCATGGCGTAGTGTGTTACCAATTGTTTTCTTGGTGACTATGGTCCCAGCTGCCTTGAGATCATTGACAAGATCCTCCTGTGTAGTTCTGGGCTGATTCCTCACCGTTCTCATGATCATTGCAACTCCACGAGATGAGATCTTGCATGGAACCCCAGGCCGAGGGAGATTGACAGTTATTTTGTGTTTCTTCCATTTGCGAATAATCGCACCAACTGTTGTCTCCTTCTCACCAAGCTGCTTGGCGATGGTCTTGTAGCCCATTCCAGCCTTGTGTAGGTCTACAATCTTGTCCCTGACATCCTTGGAGAGCTCTTTGGTCTTGGCCATGGTGGAGAGTTTGGAATCTGAATGATTGATTGCGTCTGTGGACAGGTGACTTTTATACAGGTAACAAGCTGAGATTAGAAGCACTCCCTGTAAGAGTGTGCTCCTAATCTCAGCTCGTTACCTGTATAAAAGACACCTGGGAGCCAGAAATCTTTCTGATTGAGAGGGGGTCAAATACTTATTTCCCACATTAAAATGCAAATCAATTCATAACATGTTTGACATGTTATTCTGTCTCTCACTGTTCAAATAAACCTACCATTAAAATTATAGACTGATCATTTCTTTGTCAGTGGGCAAACGTACAAAATCAGCAGGGGATCAAATACTTTTTTCCCTCACTGTATCCAGTGATATAGGTAATCTAAACTAAAGAAGCAAAGTTGTATTACGGTGCATTACATTTCAGTGTCCATTGAGCATAATTTATTTTGTTTTATAGAATCTCTGAATTTAAATTATTCTCCAACAAACAGGCTTCTCATCAGTTTGATCAAGAGGGCAGGAAAAAGTTCTTCACGCTGGACATGAACAACATCCTACTGGAGTGAGTCTTAGTTCTGAGTGTCTTTACAACTGTACAAACTGTCTTTCCTCCCCTGACCATCTCTCTGCATGTGTTAGTCAGTGTTTATCTTAATGTCTAACCCTCTGCCTCTGTGTGTTGGTCAGTATTGAGTTGCAGGTTCAGGAGCAGCCGGCAGCAGTGCGCTCTTCAGTCTACTCCCATCTCGAGGCCTTTGTGCCCTGCAACAAGGAGGCTCTGCTCAAACGCCTAAAGAAACTCAGCCTCAATATCCAGGTGTGTATGCACTAAAATGTTTGACATTTTATGTGTATGTTTGTGTGTGCACATATGCCTGTTCTTGGCTTCTGTCTAATTGTAGATGATGTTTGTTAACGGGGTGTGTGGCGTGAGTGTCATCTGGTGTGTGTGATTGTTACCCTTTTCCATCCGCTGTCATCCAGGATGACCGTCTGCGTTCCCCTCTACTGAAGCTGAAGCTGGCTGTGTGCAGCGTGATGCCAGAGCAGATCGCCAGATACAACATGGACTGCATCGCCAAAGTGGCCAAGTAAGGCCTTCTCCTCTGGCTCCTTTCTTCTCCTGCATTCTGTTCACCTCTTATTTCCTCTCCTACCTCCCCTTTTGTCCTCACCCTTTTGTCCCTTGCTGTCTATTTTTCCATGCCTCGTCAGTGTTCTCTCTGGGTTGTGTATTTACAGGCAGCAGTCAGAAGAGGGGGAGAAGAACGGATCAGAAGAGGAGGATGAGGAGAAGCCTGGGAAGAGAGTGATGGGACCTCGCAAGAAGTTTGTCTGGGATGAGAAGCTCAGGTGAGCTCTCATTTGTGAATGTAATGTCATACAATTATGTTATACAGGTGTTTTGGTTTAGTGTAGTGATGGGAAGTTCGGCTCTTTTTACTGACTCAGATCTTTTCGACTCGTTCAGTCAAATGAATGAATCTTTCGACTAATTTCGTTCATTTGAGTCAGTAATGCCCAGAGCACGCAGGACCCCAGGCGAACGATAAACTGAAAACTCGAAATAGTCATGATTCTACAAGCCTCTCGTTCATAGGTCGTTCACCATAAGGGGCTTATTGGAGCTGTCATTTGTGACAGACTTGTAAAAGTGTGCTTTAAACAATGTATATTTGTTGATTGCTAGACATACAAATGCGATTATATATTGGTACATTTGAAACAAGGTCTAGTTGTGGCCGCAACCGGACTAGATTGTGAAAAACTCTTGCCAGTCAAGCAATGCATTCCGCCGTGAGGGTGATAAGCACAATATCGTTTGCAGTTCACAACGATTCGTTCTCGAGTTCGTTGAGCAGAAGCTGTGTATCTTTTGGTTCTAAAAAGCTGTGTCCATCATAGTGTTCATTCTTGCACCATGCAATCAATTATCAGTTCTAAACTTGTATTTTTTCTTCTCTATGCTGCTTGCAGCATTATCTATTTTGCCTGCGCGCATATGACGAACAGTTGTTGGTCGGAGCACATCTCCGGAGTCACAGAAGGAGTGCGTATGAATCCTGCTGTAGAATTAAATGCAGCCAGCAAGTCAAACGAATGACTAAAATGAACGAGTCACTCAGAAAAGCGAATCATGACTCAGTAAAAAGAACAAATCATTCGCCAACAGTGGAGCACAAATTGTAATGCATAGTTGGTGAAACGTGTGTTGGTCTGTAGGATGTTGCTGTGTAACCTGGTGAGGGTGAAGCTGGGCTGCTATGAGCTGGAGGGCCAGAGCTCCCTGTCTCCAGAGGACTATCTCAAGGTCTTCATGGATACTGAGGTGAAACCACTGTGGCCCAAGGGCTGGATGCAGGCCAGGTCAGTGTGTGTGTGTGTTTGCATGTTGAAGTGTAACATTTGACCATTTAACCTAGTTTGCATTTCACCACATCTCTCCATGTTCTTCTCCTCCTCAGGATGCTATTCAAAGAGAGCCTCATGGTCCATGGTCACCTCACAGGCAATCCGTGAGTCATTACTTTGATATACTTTGCTTATTTTAAAAATCACTATATTTAAGTGAAGGTTAACACTGGTGTTCTTAATTATGCACTCATTTTCCTTTTGATTTCACTGTTATCCAGCGCAAAGAAAAAGATGGTTCCCACTCCCAAGTCTAAACCCAAGGTTAGTGTTTTGCAGTCTACTGATGCATTACTTGCATGCTTGTCATTTCAATACCATTGTTGTTTGAATAGATTTAGATCATCACACTAATTGTTTGCTCTTTCTATCTCCTATGTTGTTTGGTGTTCCAGGAGGGTGGTTGGGTCCAGAGATCCACCCCCTCAGTTGGTGCGACCCCCTCCCCTGCAGCCCCAGTGGCCTGTCGGCCCTCCCAGTCCCCCGCTGAGCCCATCTGTCTGCTGGACTCCCTGGATGAAGAGCTGACCGCCCCCGCCCTGGACTCCATCTCCCAGGCCCTGGCCCTCCTCAGCAACGCAGCCAAGGGCCTGGTCCAAGGGGACAGCCCCCCCTCCCCTGATGGGCCCAAGACCGCCCCGTCCTCCCTCCACGCCTCACCTCTTCTCCAGAAGCACAAGAAGAACACCATCAACACACCCAGTTCCAACACACCTCTCTACGTCTCTACCTCCTCCCCTCCTCTCTCTCTCGGCCTCCCACCGTCTCCCCTTCTCTGTCCTCAGTGAGGAGCGAGGGGTTGGGGTCGATGAAGGGTGGAGGTGCCCTGGCTCAGGCTCACAGACAATCAGTGTTGAGCACTCAGAGGCCTGCTGGGATGGGCCTGAGTAAAGCCAACACTCCCGGCTCTCACTCCCAGCCTAAGCCACGGCTGCCCCCCAATCAGAAGGGCTTTGGCAGCAATAATACTAAAGCCAACAGTGGTGACCCCCCCCTCTCCTCACCCTCTCCCTCCTTTTCCCACTCTCTCTCAGGAGCCCAAGCTCAGCAGCAGTCCAACTTCATCACCCCCATGCAGGCCACTCTCACCAAGTCCTCCCACAGCAGCACCTCACCCATCATCAAACTCACCCCTCGCCTCCCCAACCCCTTAACGCCCACCACCTTCTCCTCACCCTCCCCCAATCCCAGGCCTCAGGCAGCTTCCAGTATACACCAGTACTCGTCCAAAAGCCCAGCAGGGTTCCGCCCACCTTTCTCAGGTGCTCTGGGAGGGCCAGCCAAATTGTCCAGGGCAGCTACACCCCTACAGGAGGGCAGAAGACCCCCTCTCAGATCATCAGCAGCAGCGCCAACACCAGCCTTACCAACACCTCATCCATCAGCAAGCATTCGGGATCCAGTCCCTCCCCTACCACAACCTCGACCAGTCAGCGACAAAGGCCGGCAGGTGGAACCATTCAGGGGGCTAAGCCTATTAAATCTGTCTCCACACAGTCTGTCTCTTCTCAATTGCCACAGGTAAGTGAGAAGTAGGAGAGGGTAGATGGGTGGGACAAGGTCATGGTGCAGCAAATGTTCAAAATGAGTTTATCGTCTGTGTGGTTTGTGTTATCTGTGTATTTATGTATTTGATCTATGTGTATGTTTTATATTTTGTCTGGGTCTGTAGTTCTAATTATAAACTGGGTGGTTCAAGCCCTGAATGCTGATTGGCTGAAAGCCGTGGTATATCAGACCGTATACCACGAGTACCACAAAACATTAATTTTTGCTGCTCTAATTACGTTGGTAACCAGCTTATGAAAGCAAGAAGGCACCTCAGGGGGTTGTGTTATATTGCCAATATACTATGGCTAAGGGCTGTATCCAGAACAGCCCTTAGCCGTGGTATATTGGCCATATACCACACCCCCTCTGGCCTTATTGCTTAATTATATGCCTTTGTTCTCCAGGTGTCCTCAGCCAGCAGCAGTCTTCTTGGCTCTGCTCCGTCTCTCGCACTGGGTTTTGGGATGTTGGGGGGGCTGGTTCCCGTCTCTCTGCCCTTCCAGTTCCCTTCACTCTTAAACCTGCCCCCATTAGGGGGCACTGCCGGCTCCAGCACCGGGGCCAGTGGCTCATCAGCCAGCAACAGCTCAGCATTCTCCCTGACCCAGAGTGAGTGACACAGCCAGGCCACAGAAACATGAAAAAACTGAAAAATGTACAGTGCTTTTGGTAAGTATTCAGACCCCTTCACTTTTTCCACATTTTGTTACGTTACAGCCTTATTCTAAAATTGATTAAATTATTAATTTTTCTCATTACTCTACACACAATACCCCATAATGACAAAGCAAAAACAGGTTTTTAGAAATGTTTGCTAATGTATAAAAAAAAAAAAAGAATACCTTATTTACATACAGTGAGGGAAAAAAGTATTTGATCCCCTGCTGATTTTGTACGTTTTCCCACTGACAAAGAAATGATCAGTCTATAATTTTAATGGTAGGTTTATTTGAACAGTGAGAGACAGAATAACAACAAAAAAATCCAGAAAAACGCATGTCAAAAATGTTATAAATTGATTTGCATTTTAATGAGGGAAATAAGTATTTGACCCCTCTGCAAAACATTACTTAGTACTTGGTGGCAAAACCCTTGTTGGCAATCACAGAGGTCAGACGTTTCTTGTAGTTGGCCACCAGGTTTGCACACATCTCAGGAGGGATTTTGTCCCGCTCCTCTTTGCAGATCTTCTCCAAGTCATTAAGGTTTTGAGGCTGACGTTTGGCAACTCGAACCTTCAGCTCCCTCCACAGATTTTCTATGGGATTAAGGTCTGGAGACTGGCTAGGCCACTCCAGGACCTTAATGTGCTTCTTCCTGAGCCACTCCTTTGTTGCCTTGGCTGTGTGTTTTGGGTCATTGTCATGCTGGAATACCCATCCACGACCCATTTTCAATGCCCTGGCTGAGGGAAGGAGGTTCTCACCCAAGATTTGACGGTACATGGCCCCGTCCATCGTCCCTTTGATGCAGTGAAGTTGTCCTGTCCCCTTAGCAGAAAAACACCCCCAAAGCATAATGTTTCCACCTCCATGTTTGATGGTGGGGATGGTGTTCTTGGGGTCATAGACAGCATTCCTCCTCCTCCAAACACGTTGAGTTGAGCATTCCTCCTCCTCCAAACACGGCGAGTTGAGTTGATGCCAAAGAGCTCCATTTTGGTCTCATCTGACCACAACACTTTCACCCAGTTCTCCTCTGAATCATTCAGATGTTCATTGGCAAACTTCAGACGGGCATGTATATGTGCTTTCTTGAGCAGGGGGACCTTGCGGGCACTGCAGGATTTCAGTCCTTCACGGCGTAGTGTGTTACCAATTGTTTACTTGGTGACTATGGTCCCAGCTGCCTTGAGATCATTGACAAGATCCTCCCGTGTAGTTCTGGGCTGATTCCTCACCGTTCTCATGATCATTGCAACTCCACGAGGTGAGATCTAGGTGAGATCTTGCATTGAGCCCCAGGCCGAGGGAGACTGACAGTTCTTTTGTGTTTCTTACATTTGTGAATAATCGTACCAACTGTTGTCACCTTCTCACCAAGCTGCTTGGCGATGGTCTTGTAGCCCATTCCAGCCTTGTGTAGGTCTACAATCTTGTCCCTGACATCCTTGGAGAGCTCTTTGGTCTTGGCCATGGTGGAGAGTTTGGAATCTGATTGATTGCTTCTGTGGACAGGTGTCTTGTATACAGGTAACAAACTGAGATTAGGAGCACTCCCTTTAAGAGTGTGCTCCTGATCTCAGCTCGTTACCTGTATAAAAGACACCTGGGAGCCAGAAATCTTTCTGATTGAGAGGGGGTCAAATACTTATTTCCCTCATTAAAATGCAAATCAATTTATAACATTTTTGACATGCGTTTTTTCTGGATTTTTTTGTTGTTATTCTGTCTCTCACTGTTCAAATAAACCTACCATTATAATTATAGACTGATCATTTCTTTGTCAGTGGGCAAACGTACAAAATCAGCAGGGGATCAAATACTTTTTTCCCTCACTGTAAGTATTCAGATCCTTTGCTGTGAGACTCAAAATTGATCTCCGGTGCATCCTGTTTCCATTGATCATCCTTGAGATGTTTCTATAACTTGATTGGAGTCCACCTGTGGTAAATTCAATTGATTGGACATGATTTGGAAAGGCACACACCTGTCTATATAAGGTCCCACAGTTGACAGTGCATGTCAGAGCAAAAACCAAGCCATGAAGTCGAAGGAATCGTCAGAGACAGGATTGTGTCGAGGCACAGATCTGGGGAAGGCTACCAAAAAATTTCTGCAGCATTGCAGGTCCCCAAGACCACAGTGGCCTACATCATTCTTAAATGGAAGAAGTTTGGGATCACCAAGACTCTTCCTAGAGCTGGCCGCCCTGCCAAACTGAGCAACCGGGGGAAAAGTGCCTTGGTCAGGGAGGTGACCAAGAACCCGATGGTCACTCTGACAGAGCTCCAGAGTTCCTTTGTGGAGATGGGATAACCTTCCAGAAGGACAATCATCTCTGCAGCACTCCACCAATCAGGCCTTTATGGTAGAGTGCCCAGACAGAAGCCACTCCTCAGTAAAAGGCACATGACAGCCCGCTTGGAGTTTGCCTAAATGCACCTAAAGGACTCTCAGACCACGAGAAACAAGATTCTCTGGTCTGATGAAACCAAGATTGAACTCTTTGGCCTGAATGCCAAGCGTCATATCTGGAGGAAACCAGGCACCGCTCATCACCTGGCCAATACCCTCCCTTCGGTGAAGCATGGTGGTGGCAGCATCACGCTGTGGCAGGGTCTTGGAGACTTGTCAGGGTCGAGGGAAAGATGAACAGAGCAAAGTACAGAGAGCGCTCAGGACTTCAGACTGGAGCGGCGGTTCACCTTCAAACAGGACAACGACCATAAGCACACAGCCAAGACAACCCAGGAGTGGCTTCGGGACAAGTCTCTGAATTTCCTTGTGGCTTAGCCAGAGCCCGGACTTCAACCCGATCTAACATCTCTGGAGAGACCTGAAAATAGCTCTGCAGCGACGCTCCCCATCCAACCTGACAGAGTTTGAGAGGATCTGCAGAGAAGAATGGGAGAAACTCCCCAAATACAGGTGTGCCAAGCTTGTATCGTCATACCCAAGAAGACTCGAGGCTGTAATTGCTGCCAAAGGTGCTTCAACAAAGTACAGGGTCTGAATACTTATGTTTTTTTTTGTTGCTAAAATTCTAAACACATGTTCTTGCTTTGTCATTATAGGGTTTTGTGTATAGATTGAGGGGGGGGGGGAACAATTTAATCAATTTTAGAATAAGGCTGTAAATTAACAAAATGTGGAAAAAGTGACGGGGTCTGAATACTTTCCGAATGCCCTGTATCCTCCCGTTAAGGATTATGACATTTGGTGAATGGAGTTGATGAATGTAGAACAGCTGTTGATTGAGATGGGGTTGCTTTAATCTAGTCTGTGTGTATGTTGATGTCTTGGTATGTGTGTAGAGTTTGTTTTTGTGTTGTTTGACCATTGTGTTAATTCCCCATGCTGTGTCTGGAAGCCTGCAATGTTTTTCTCCATTGTCTGACATTCTCACATATAGTTTCTTTGGTTAATTTCTCCCCTTATCCCTCTGTGCCTCTTCTTTAAAATGTCATTCTTCCATGAATCTACTGCTCTCCTGTGCTTTTACATCCATTTACTATTTGACCTGGCTCATCTTTTTTCCTTTCATCTTGTTTTCTTGTCTTGACTCCCATTCTTGTTTAGTCTACACTGCCTTTCCTATCCCACCATGCCCTTGACCTACACTCTCCTCTTGTGTGTCATCTCCTCCCTCCCATGTCCTCCTGTCTCTCCTCAGATCTGATAAAGAGTCTCCAGTCAGGGTCTCAGGTTGCTCTGCCTCCTCACTTACAGCTCGCTTTCTCAGGTAAAATCTGCCCCTCCCTGTGACCCCGCTCTCTGCCTCTCCCTGTGACCCCGCTCTCTGCCTGCTGTCACTTCAAATGTCTGGTGTTTTCTTTCTTTCTTGGGGACATCTTCCCTGTCTGTCCCACCGTAGTCTCTGTGCTTGTCTGGTGGTGGGTTGCATGCCTGTCGCTTTAGTCATGTCAGTGGTTGTTATTTGTGTTATCTTATGTGTTTAAATATTTGTTTTTGTTTCCTATCCATATTTCAAGAACTCTACTCTTCCTGTCCAGATGTCAATCAAACCCAAGGAGGGGATGTGAAGAGGAAGTCTCTTTGACCACACCTGTTTGGAACACTGAGGACATCCACTATGATGTGACAGCTATCAGGAACTAGGACTACTTTGAATGACTGACAGATGAACTGCCCAAACACAGGATGGGGCTGAAATGGGGAATTGGACCCTCTCGATAATCTTCCGGCTGTGTTACTTATTTTAACAGCAATTTGATATTGGTTTTAATATTGTAAATTGTAAGGCTTAATGACAAGTTTGTTTTTGTCAATGTTTACAGAACAGACCTTTATCACTGTGGTCAGGGAGGGAGAATGAATGAGTGGTCTGCTTTTTGGTGTGTGTGTGTGAATACACTATTCTTTAGGGTCAGTGTGCAAATATGTTTGTGTAACCCTCTCTGATACCTGGGTTAGTGTGTCTATTTGGTGCTTCTTTTTCAGTGTAATTATTATCAAGACCTGTAAGAAAGTATACTGAATGCGAACATTGTTGAATTTGTTTAGGGACCGGAGCTGTATTTTCTGCTGTACATAACTCCACCAAATTCATTAAAACAAAAAGCCATGAACTATGCAGGATTATAACAAAATGGTATATTGGTGACTTTCTATGGTCATCAGCATGGGTAAGTCTGTTCCCTCATGTCTTGTGCCTTCACTCGCTTTTATGAAGTGCTACAACACTACATAACCTATAAAAATGGAAAACAAGCCAGTAACATCCACATAGTGGAAAGTTAGTAAAAGTATATCAGAGTGGGTGGAACTAAGTCTCAATATCGGCTCTTAAAATCCACAAATGGTCAGTATTGCCAAGAAACACTTTACCATGCTACCTGGAGTAAAGGAATGGAGTCTGATTAATCAAAAGTTTATTTGACAGGGGTAACAAACAGGAGAAACTGCCTGACGGTTGCTTATCTGAAGCAGCCCAAAAAGGCAAACGAATCAACACTCAAGGCTGCACAACTTTCTGTGCTTCCTCCAGACTGAGGTTGAACCAGCAGAGGTTCTTTAGGGTTAGGGGTCCAGACAAAGCCAACACACCCAAGGCACAACACACAGGTCAATGGGCGGTGCTTATAATTTCAACTTTGATTTAGCTGACATCAAATGCCATATCTCAACCGAACTCAGAAAATAACTCATGACTTAATCCAGGAGCTACAATCCTGACAGTATAAACCTTAAATAATCAACCAGGACCATTAATGTACTCCAATACAGTCCCAAAAGCCTTTTTAACTCCACATCAAACTACTATTGCCCCACACAGCACACAAGCTGACATTCATTTAAACCCAAAAAGGAAACTGGAAAAACAAGATTAAACAAATATTAAATAGGTGACAAATTCTACAGCTGTAATGAGTAAAAAGTCTGGCAGAAGGTTTGATGGCTGTCCCAATTCCTGTTTATTGTTCTTTCTAAAAGGTCCTCCAGAGTCTATTTGACCAGAGGCCTGGTTTTGTCATCATCGCCACACTGGTGGGCTTTATACTTTTTCACCTCTGCCATGTATTTTGTCCAGGCATCCCCCTTGCCCTCCATCTGGAAAACAGAATAAATAATTAGACAATGGCTTAGAGGACACAAGTGGTATTTAATGAAGACAATCTGGAAAATATATTTATTGAACCTCAGGATCCACTTTCGGTTTCTTCGCAACCATGCCAGTCTTGAGCGCCAATTTAGAGCCACCTCTGCGCTTCCCCACCTGGGTTAGGGGATAGAAGACTGAAACCGTTATACGAGCCCTTGCGGGTGGACTGCCAATGATGGAGACTATACAAGACGAGAGAACACAGAACAAGCCTATGTTATCACGGGAAAAATTATTTGAGTAGCTAATGAATGCTTTCCAATTTCTAGACCAGATGTGGATTTCAGGTTAATCCTTGGTGACACTGCAGTGCAGCTCTTCACTAACGTGAGCTGTGTGTGGTGGATAAAAAACAAAATCATGTTTGTAATTTGTTAATTGAGACATTGCCATTGGCTACAATCTCTAGCTAACAACTGCCAAACCCCTTACAAAGCTGGTCACACTTGGAGTCTTCTTTTCCTGTGTCGACTGTCCTTCGTCAGCAGTACTTTTATCTTGGTCCATTTCTTTTTTCCTTTTCTCTTCCTCCATTTTTTTCTTGAACATCTCCATAAAACTTCCATCATTGGCAAATGAATTGCCCGCCGCTGCTTTGCTGACTCCCGGTGCAGGACTGGCAGGCGACCCCGGGCTGTTACTGCTCGAATCGCTGCTGTTTTGATGTCTTCTGTTGTATCCACGCTTCGGATCCATGTTAGCTATTTTTCCACGTAGAAGGGCTCAGTTCCTTTAGACCTTTCTGCAACTAGCGGTGTGCTCTCTGGTCGTTTGTGTCAATAACACAAACTAAAGCCGGCTAGCTAGTTAGTTACCTGACAAAAAAATGCTATCAGTGACAGACTCCACCCGAGCCCCAAACTAAGCAGCAACCTTCGAGCCAAAGTACCTAGCATACGAAGCCGTCTAATTAAAAGAACGGGCGTCTCAAAGTAATAGCTTGGAAATCCATAAATGAATCGGAGCGACACTTGTCCACCTCCCAGCTAGCTAGCACATGTCCTCACGGCGAAAAAAATTGCAGGCTTGTTGTTGGTGGCTTGCTAACGTTAGCGTTGTAGCCAGCTATTCGAAAAATGTCAGCTAGCTAATGACCAAACAATTATGTGAAGTCATGAGTAGCTAAACTATTGCAAAACACAAATCAACCACATTAGCTATATATCATATATTTTAAAAAACTACTCTCAAAGTGAAGTATATTACGGATATATTGGCTACATTTGTCCAAATGTGGTTTTCTTTGACTTGCTATCGGCCATGTTGAATTTCGTCTTATCATTTACGTCAGCACCTCGCCTCAATCTTCTTATTCTATGGTATTATGGTGGTCCGCAAACATTCGTTTGAGGTGCATGCCGCCATCTACTGTGTGAGCTTTGTCCGCCTACTGTTCTGGAGTGGGAATTCATTCCACTTGGTGAAATGAAAAGGGAAGAAGAATTGCCCTACCAACTAACCCTTCACCCATTAAAACCTCACCACTATTCCACTACTTGGCCGTATCTTTTTATTGAACCTTTATTTTATCAGGGAGTCATACTGACCCCAAGGTCTCTCTTACAGATGAGCCCTGAATTACAGAAACGACACACATCACAAAATACAAGCAGAAAGAAAAACATGGTCATAAAAAACAAACACATTCATTACATTTACGTCATTTAGCAGACACTCTTATCCTGAGCGACTTACAGATAGTGAGTGCATACATTATTTATATTTTTTCATACTGGACCCCCGTGGGAATCGAACCAACAACCCTGGCGTTGCAAACGCCATGCTCTACCAACTGAGCTACATTTATCAGTAATAAGGTCCTCAGTCAACTTTCTGAATTGACTCTTGAGGAACCAAAAAATAAAATGTAAGAACATGTTGATGATTTATTTGTGGAGCAGTACTTGAAAACTAAAAGCTGATTTACCTAACTCAGTAGAGATCGAAGGAATTTACAGAGTGAATGTCCAAACACTAAATCAAATAGGCTTCCCAAAATAAGATGGTCGCTGTGGTAGAACGTTTATTTTGATTGCCAATTTTGTGCATTTATCAAAATCACATCAGGTTGCCTGATTTCAGATGTGTCATGTAAACAAGATTATTTATAGGGAAATCATTGTTCTTGCTCAGCATGTAGGCTAAACACTTAAATCAAACTATTATATTAATCTAATTTGACAATCCTATTAGTGTGCATACTCAGTGCTGGCCATGTCCAATTGGTCAGTCACCAGGATAGTCTCGTAACACCAGCCACACACACTACATGATAAATGCAACAACAACAGAACGGACACCGCTAGAACTTTGTCAGAGCCTATGACCGCACATGGTGGTACTTACTGCAATATGCAGAAATCGCAAAAAATTGCTACAATTCTAATAGTTCACCTAATTTCAGTTTGTGACAAAACAAGAATCATTGTACCATCTAAACCGCGGTGAAATATATTTTCAATAACCAAAAATATTGTATTTTCAGCTTGTTTGAAGCTGGTGAACAAAACTGAAAGTGAAAGACAAAAACTATACTTAAAAATGGGAAGCATAGAAACAGTGCACATAGAACAGATCTACCACGCCTTAGACTTGCTTTCAATGAGAATGACAGATATATAACTCACATTTCTATGTGAATTTGGTTGGGTCACCTAAAAAAGTACATATTGAAGCTAAATCAGGGAGTGCTGCAGCACCCTCAACACCCCTACATCCCGCGGCTATGAGGAAGTCTCAAGGTTCTGCTCGCCTGAGTTAGAATACGTCATCAACTGTAGACCATACCATTTACCAAGAGTTTTAATATATTTTTTTGTTAGATGTTCCATCTATTCACCACCATAAGAAAACAAGAAAATGCTCATCCAGATGCGGTGCTCGTAGTGGCCGGTGATTTCAATAATTTCTACCAGCATGTCACCTGTGCAACTAGAAGTGAAAAAAACTCTAGATCACCTATACTCCACACACAGAAATGCATAAAGCTCTCCCTCGCCCTCCATTTGACAAATCTGACCATAACTCTATCCTCCTGATTCCTGCTTACAAGCAAAAACTCAAACAGGAAGTACCAGTGCTCAATACGGAAGTGGTCCGATGAAGCGGATGCTAAGGTACAGGACTCTTTTACTAGCGCAGACTGGAATATGTTCCGGGACTCATCCGATGGCATTGAGGAGTTTACCACATCAGTCACCGGCTTCATTAATAAGTGCATCGACGACAACGTCCCCACATTGACCGTACGGACATATCCCAACCAGATGCCATGGATGACAGGCAACATCCGCACAGAGCTAAACGCTAGAGATGCCGCTTTCAAGGAGCGGGACACTGCCTGTTTGATGGTTCGTTGTAGGGTGTAGTGGGATTTCTTATAAGCGTCCGGGTTAAAGCATCAATAGAGGACTAAAATCGAATCCTACTACACCGGCTCTGACGCTCGTCGGATGTGGCAGGGCTAGCAAACTATCACGGATTACGAAGGGAAACCCAGCCGCAAGCTGCCCACTGACGCGAGCCTACCAGACGAGCTAAATCCCTTCTATGCTCGCTTTGAGGCAAGCAACACTGAACCATGCGTGAGAGCACCAGCTTTTCCGGACAACTGTGTGATCAAGCTCTCCGTAGCCAATGTGAGTAAGACCTTTAAAACAGGTTAACATTCACAAGGCCACAGGGCCAGACTGATTACCAGGACGCATACTCAGAGCATGCGCTGACCAGCTGGCAAGTGTCTTCACTGACATTTTCAACCTCTCACTGACCCAGTCTGCAATACCTACGTTTCAAGCAGACAACCATAGTCCCTGTGACCACAAACGCCAAGGTAACCTGTCTAAATGACTATCGCTCCGTAGCACTCACATCTGTAGTCATGAAATGCTTTAAAAAGGCTGGTCATGACTCACATCAACACCATCATCCCAGACACCCTGGACCCCCTCCAATTCGCATACCACCCAAACAGATGACGCAATTTGTATTGCACTCCACACTGCCCTTTCCCACTTGGACAAAAAGAACACTGACGTGAGAATGCTGGTCATTGACTACAGCTCAGCGTTCAACACCATTGTGCCCTACAAGCTCATCACTAAGCTAAGGACCCTGGGGACTGACCACCTCCCTCTGCAACTGGATCCTGGACTTCATGAAGGGATGCCCCCAGGTGGTGAGGATAGGCAACAACACATCCGCCACGCTGACCCTCAACATGGGAGCCCCTCAGGGGTGTGCTTAGTCCCCTCCTGTACTCCTTGTTCACCCACGACTGCGTGGACGCTCACGATTCCAACACCATCATTAAGTTTGCAGACGACACGAAGGTGGTAGAGGAAGGCCCTAAAAATGGTAAAAGACTCCAGCCACCCAAATCATAGACTGTTCTGTCTGCTACCGCAAGGCAAGCGGTACCGATGCACCATGTCTGGAACCAACAGGACCCTGAACAACTTCTACCTGTCACTTTATTCTTAGTAATATGTACACTACCGTTCAAAAGTTTGGGGTCACTTAGAAATGTCCTAGTTTTCGAAAGAAAAGCAATTTTGTTGTCCATTAAAATAACATCAAATTGATCAGAAATACAGTGTAGACATTGTTAATGTTGTAAATGGCTATTGTCTGGAAACGGCTGATTTTTAATGGAATATCTACATAGGCGTACAGAGGCCCATTATCAGCAACCATCAGTCCTGTGTTCCAATGGCACGTTGTGTTTGCTAATTGATCATTAGAAAACCCTTTTGAAATGATGTTAGCACAGCTGAAAACTGTTGTGCTGATTAAAGAAGCAATACAACTGGCCTTCTTGAGACTAGTTGAGTATCTGGAGCATCAGCAATTGTGGGTTCGATTACAGGCTCAAAATGGCCAGAAATAAATAACTTTCTTCTGAAACTCGTCAGTCTATTATTGTTCTGAGAAATGAAGGCTATTCCATGCGAGAAATTGCCAAGAAACTGAAGATCTCGTACAACACTGTGTACTACTCCCTTCACAGAACAGCGCAAACTGGCTCTAACCAGAATAGAAAGAGGAGTGGGAGGCCCCGGTGCACAACTGAGCAAGAGGACAAATACATTAGAGTGTCTAGTTTGAGAAACAGATGCCTCACAGGTCCTCAACTGGCAGCTTCATTAAATAGTACCCGCAAAACACCAGTCTCAACGTCAACAGTGAAGAGGCAACTCCAGGATGCTGATCTTCTAGGCAGAGTTGCAAAGTAAAAGCCATATCTCAGACTGGCCAATAAAAAGAAAAGATTAAGATGGGCAAAAGAACACAGACACTGGACAGAGGAAGATTGGAAAAAAGTGTGTTGGACTGACGAATCTAAGTTTGAGGTGTTCGGATCACAAAGAAGAACATTTGTGAGACGCAGACCAAATGAAAAAAGATGCTGGAGGAGTGCTTGATGCCATCTGTCAAGCATGGTGGAGGCAATGTGATGGTCTGGGGGTGCTTTGGTGGTGGTAAAGTGGGAGATTTGTACAGGGTAAAAGGGATCTTGAAGAAGATAGGCTATCACTCCATTTTGCAACGCCATGCCATACCATGTGGACGGCGCTTGATTGGAGCCAATTTCCTCCTATAACAGGACAATGACCCAAAGCACAGCTCCAAACTATGCAATAACTATTTAGGGAAGAAGCAGTCAGCTGGTATTCTGTCTATAATGGAGTGGCCAGCACAGTCACCGGATCTCAACCCTATTGAGCTGTTGTGGGAGCAGCTTGACCGTATGGTACGTAAGAAGTGCCCATCAAGCCCATCCAACTTGTGGGAGGTGCTTCAGGAAGCATGGGGTGAAATCGCTTCAGATTACCACAACAAATTGACAACTAGAAAGCCAAAGGTCTGCAAGGCTGTAATTGCTGCAAATGGAGGATTATTTGACGAAAGCAAAGTTTGAAGGACACAATTATTTCAATTTTAAAAAATCATTATTTCTAACCTTGGCAATGACTACATTTCCTATTCATTTTGCTATATTTCCAATTCAAACTTATTTCATGTATGTTTTCATGGAAAACGACATTTCTAAGTGACCCCAAACTTTTGAACGGTAGTGTACATATCTACCTCAATTACCTCGTACCCCTGCACATCGACTCAGTACTGGTACCCATTATATATAGCAAAGTTATCGTTACTCATTGTGTATCTATTATTTCTTTATTTTCTTTCTCTCTGCATTGTTACCGCTTCCCTAAGTTCCTTTCCTTCTTCCTCACTGTCAATATCCACATCGCCACGATCTTTCTGCTCCTTCATCTGC